AACTAGAAGCTCCTCCCTCCCACGCATCATCACGAAAAGACGCCACTTCGACGTTCATATCCATATCAGCGGTGAAGTCCGCAAGGGCCGAAACATGTGAGGACAGTCTGGTCGGCCTTGCCTGGACCCTCCGAGCAGGCGGCGAGGCCGACCGAGCACGGACCAGACGGAGCACTTGTCCCTCCGACGACACCGAGGGCGACGACCTCACAACCCCCATCACCCCCGTCGGAAGTCAGATCAGTAGTGCCCTCAGGAGCGGCCTCAGGCACCCTCAGGCCAGCATCTCCCTGAGTGGGGCACGAAACATTTCCCTGTGTCGCGTGCTCAGTGGAGTCCCCGAGGATCCTCGCGCAATGAGCTATCTTCGCAGGACAGCGGCGAAGCGCAGATATCTGGCGCTGCTTGTCCGACCGACACAACTTACTACAGGTGACACAACGCCAACCGCTCGCACAAACAAAAAAAATGCGTCGCAAACCTGGGCCAGGCGGAGCACCCGCACGATGAGCAGCAGCAAACCTGGCCTCACGTCGCTGCTCAGAACGATCCTGACCAGGGGCGACAGCTTCAATCATATATTTCGTGTGAGCACGAGCCATCCAGACCGAGCTTTTTCGGGTAGCTTTATAAGGTCGTTCCATGAGACGCGCATCGGTTTCCCAGACTGAGTAAAGGTCGCGGCCCTGGGTGGCCGCAAAGTCGGCCAAACGGTTCCCGCGAGCCTCAAAAGACATCCCTTTTTGATGTCCAGAAACGTGCAGAACTTGGAGCTCGGGTCCTAAACCTCCTAAGTTCTCGATCCTACGCCAAATCTCACACCATAAATCACTGTTTGGGCGCCTCGGAGAGCACCCCCCATGTCGGCCCACGCGCGAGCCCATCTGGTAGGTCAAGATAGTCCGTGTGGATCGTGAGCGGCAGCATAGCAACCCCCAAGATCTGCACGACCGCGTACAGCTCAGCCCTCAGAGAAGTCCGAATGGGGCCTGGTAAAGCCCCGTACACACATAACATGATATGATGTCCCCTATCTGAGCGAAACCCCATCCCGCACGAGAAGCTTCTGGCCAGTAATGGTATTTACGACCCGCCCCATCGGAGAAAACGCATCCAGTAACCAACTGACATTCTCCATATATAGAGTGCCACGTGCAAGAGTCGTCTCGTGGTGGTGATCCAGGAACCATGGCTCGCGACTGCAAACCTCGTGTCCAAAACCACGAAGTCGTAGTCGGGTAGGGGAGAACGCTTTTGTCTTGATCGTCAAACAATTCGTTACGACCGTCATCGTTACATGAGCAAGTCCACGGGATGTGATATATATATATATGTATATATATATAGATCCAGGTGCATTATGGTATAATGGGCATTGCGGGGTGTCGACGTACTCGCAAGCATGCCGTCGCGCAGGCGGCCAGGGCCCACCTGTGACCAAGGCCCTCAGAGTGCCAGCCGTCTACAGTCAAACACGGCTTACGAGCTGGGTTGCCTGCTAGAACACGCGGCCCTTGCAGTTGGGCCAGCTGCCGAGCACGAGGACGAGGGCCGCTGTCAACTCGCATAGGAAAATGAGGGCGTGGCGGATAACCTTCCACTCGACGAGCGTCAGTCATCGAAGCAGCCATCCCATCACTGGCAAGCCAGTAATCCAAGAAGGTGCATTTGCCCGCGGAGGCGACTCGATGAGAGCCCTGCGAGCTGACGACAAGATGTCCGTCCACTCGCCCCGCGAAAGCACTGTCCCTGAACACTTGCAGACTCGCGTTCCAATCACCTGCGATGACGCACGGAGTGCGGTGCAACCGAAGCATGCGACCAAACTTTTCCAGGCGCGGGATGTTGCCCCCCTTGAGGCCCATGCCCTGTTCAAGAAATGTACTGCCAACAATGAATCCGCCACGGGGGCCAGAGTGAATGCACACGGCCACGCACCACGACTTAACGGTTACATGGCCTCGAACATCAGGAAGAGCGTCCAAGTAGGTAGCGCCGGCGAAGTGTCTGGCGAAAAGCCCAACTCCCGCCAACGGATGACCCGCAGGGCCAGTCTGGCAGTCGGTGATGAAGGCTTTCCGCCCGTTTCGTATGCACCATTCTTCAGCTTGCTTGCGTTGATCACCACAAACTCTGAGCTCCTGCGACGCAGCAGTGAGACACCTGCAGCACCCTCGTCCAAAAAGTCACGTAGTCGAGTCCATCCATTGGCATTGTTAGTATCGAGTGCGAGGGGCTTGCGCTTGCCACGGCGAGCTGCCCTCCTAGAAAGGCAAATAGTGAAGCCGTCGGGCATCAGCCACATGTGATAGCCTCATGCCGCTCACCGTATCAGACGCTTCCAAGCCACGCGCGCCCATCAGACCTGACGAAGTGCCTGGGGCTTTTGCAGGCCTTCTGCCGCAAGCGCCTGCACTGCTGCGGGTCTTGCCCAGGATTTTGAACTCTAGCAGCGGGTAGTTCAAACAATGGAATGTCACCCAATGAACCAATCTTATTGTTGAACAGCCGCGACATGATGATGAGCCTGATACTTCTAGGTGCCACCTGTTGCCATGTCCGCATCGTCCGCGGCCTCCTGCTGGTGGAGAAGGGCTGTCCATGGATGCGTGGATGGCGTGGCTGGTGCGGGGGCGCCTGTTGAGGCACCGCCTGGAACTTGTAGGGGTTGTGCTGTCTGCGCTGCAGGTGCTGCATGTGGTGCTGGTGGTGCTGCGCCGTCAACCTGGGCAGGAGCTTGCTGCGCTGCCTGTCCTTGTTGAACCACTGACTGTAGCTGGGCCAACTGGTCAGTGAGAGTATGTAACAATACCTGCGGGCTTCCTGCCAATATGGCCTGAGGTGCACCAACCACGACCACCTGAAGCCGCTGCACAGCCTCAGCAATATTGGGAGAAGCTGTGGCCGCCAGTGCGGTAGATGCAAGCACTGCGGCCCTGGCCATGTTGACCTCCGACTGAATGTGCTACAGCTCAGTAGCAGCATGGTCGTAGGCCGTCTTCTTCTCAAGTAACTTAGCCTCAAGGTCCGACACTGCTTGCTTGAGATCATCCACCTCTCTGGATTTAGCTGCATGCCTGTCGAGGGACCGCCGCAACATATCATCAGGGGTGCGATGCTGCTGCTCACGTTCCTCGGCCGCTTGCAAATCTCGTTCAGCGTGCAAGACAACGGGCGCATCGTCAGCGAGGCCGAGCTTGCGTAGTGCCCCGGATGCCTTCCGTGCCTGTGCGACGCCATCAGCTGGGCTCGGATCGACGCTGTTGCCGTCGTTCTTCTTCGTGTCTTTGGCACCACCTCCGTTGGCCCTCGGCCTGGAGGCAGCACGCTTAGAGGATGGCCGCTGTCGTGGTGGCACAAAACTTGGATCAGGAACGCCACGACGGTCGCGGCCGCAACTGTGACATTTGTCGTTGCTCGCGTAGTTGCCCTGGAGTCCGCACTGGCGTGACGCCACGCAGGCCCATCTCTGATCCTTCTGGACATTGCGGGGTCGGGGCCCACAGCGCGTGCTTCCGCCGTCACCTGCACCGCTCATGAAAGGCTCTAGAGACCCGTGATGCTTATGCAATAGCGTCCTCAACTTCTCAACCTTCAAGAATCACCTGGCAGCAGCACGGGCGCGGCGGCGCCTGCGGTGCCAAGCTGGAGATCGTGATCGCGCCGAGGGTATAGTGAAGTTGACTCGCGCCTGGGCAAGCGCGAGCCTGGGGCGGGCCGTGCTGTCTCGGATATGATAGTCCAAAAACGTACCGTCGGGAAAAGCCTCCGACGGCTCTAGCCCACGCCTGGAGGAGGAGGAGGAGGAGGAGGAGGAGGAGGAGGAGGAGGAGGAGGAGGAGGAGGAGGAGGAGAAGGAGAAGGAGGGGAGGGAGGAGGAGGAGGAGGGAGGAGAGGAGGAGAAGGAGGAGGAGGGAGGAGGAGGAGGAGGGGAGGGAGGGAGGAGGAGCAGAGGAGGAGGACAAAGGAGGAGGAGGGAGGAGGAGGCAGATCGAGGAGGAGGAGGAGGAGGAGGAGGAGGAGGAGAAGAGGAGGAGGAGGAGGAGGAAGAGGAGGAGGAGGAGGAGGAGGAGGAGGGAGGGAGGAGGAGGAGGAGGAGGAGGAGGGGGAGAAGGAGGAGGAGGAGGAGGAGGAGGAGGAAGAGGAGAGGAGGAGGAGGAGGAGGAGGAGGAGGAGGAGGGGGAGGAGGAAGAGGAGGAGGGAGGAGGAGGAGGAGGAGGAGGAGGAGGAGGAGAGGAGAAGGAGGAGGAGGAGGAGGAGGAGGAGGAGGAGGAGAAACGGAGGAGAAAAAGGAGGATAAAAAAAGAGGAGGGAGGAGGAGGAGGAGAAGGAGGAGCAGAAAAGGAGGAGGAGGAGGAGGAAGAGGAAAAGGAGGAGGAGGAGCAGGAGGAGCAGGAGGAGCAGGAGGAGGAGGAGGAGCAGGAGGAGGAGGAGGAGGAGGAGGGAGGAAGACAAAGGAGGAGGAGGGGGGAGGAGGCAGAGAGAGGAGGAGGAGGAGGAGGAGGAGGTGGAGGAGGAGGAGGAGGACGACGACGACGAACAGGAGGAGGAATGGGGGAGAAAGGCCCGACCCCTCGGGGGCGCGGCCACATCGCCCAGGGCGCGCCTCCTCCCGCCCCTAAGCACCACCTGTCAAGACGGGCCACGAGCCGCCTGGCCGCCCGGGGCCAACAAGGTCCCACCCTTGCACGAGGCCGCTGTCCGACGGCGCGCCCGGCGGCAGCCAGCCACTCCAAGACGGGCCCTGGACATCTCGACGCTCCCCAAGATGGCCCCTCGAAGGCCAGGACGAGGCCTTACCAGAGCTCTTGGGATACCGCGCTTCAGACTTCGATGTGTATCGTACAAGTCTGCCATTGTGGCTGGCTTTACGTATGAGTTCTTCCAGGAGCCCACCAGTCTCCAGAGCAGCTCCGAGACAGCATCCGAGGACCCAGGAGCTGCCCACCCCAAGGCCCCGACGGAGCTCTGTCGGGGCCTCATGGCGCCCCTAAATTGATCGAAGACCGAACAGCACCAGTCCACCTTCGACGGCGCCAGAAAGTGCCCACCCTAAGGCGGCCGCAGGACACTCCCCAACGCCCTTCCGACGCCTTGCTCTCACAGGGCGAAGATGATGATGAGTAGAGGCGAAGGAAGGGAGCGCCATCTGCTGGCCGCAACAGGGTCTCCCTGGAACGCCTGGCCCTCATCACGGCTTCCGCGCTCCAGCGCGCAAACTTCGCCCGGTCTGGCTTGAGGTTGCGCAGGCGCCAGTCCGACTCCTTCGCTGAGGTCTTCACCCCAGACCACCTGCGGCTCTCAGGCACCTTGAGAGCAGCAGCAAAAGGCATGAAAGCACAAACTGTGGGAGGTCCGCGCCAGTGTTCTGCAGTCGGCACTGGAGGCCCGTCCCCTGGCGCCCAGAGCGTGTCGACCCATGTTGGAAAAGACAAAACTGGGGGGGATGAGAGTGGGAGGGCAAAGAACATCTGGCAACGCCTAGCAACACCTGACAACAACGCCAATTGCACTTGCTAACAACTCTTAACCGAAAGTAGCAGCAATGGTTAACAGGAAACCGGTTATACAAAGTAACAACGCAAACCTCATCTCCACTCGGTTGCCAACGGCGCAACCTCGAGACTACCGACGAGTCCTTCTGGTTGCATCGCCTTTGCTTTCTTGCTTGCGCAGACACTCGCATTTGCTGCTGATTGCTGGCAAATTTCCAGTCACCCCACTGTTCTCGCCCCACGTGGTGCCTTCCGACCATGGACTCCCCGCGGCCTTCCAAAAACCTCTCTCTTATGTAACTGTAGATGATGTCTGACAAAAAGAGCGAACCATTGAAACATTCCCCGTCGGCCAACCCCAGCCAACCCCCGTCGACCCGCCCGATCAATCCGTCCAGTCGACCCTGATGAGGACACGGCAGGTTTCTGCGGCGACGACCCCGGCGTTGGTCTCTGACACCGCGTGGATCGTTCCACCCTGACCTTGTGAGATGCATGTCCCTCTAGGAGGCTGAGGATGCGAAACGCAGCGAGGTACCTGTTGGCTAGAAACGGAGGTACGCAGGTAGACACGTGCAAAGTACTTGTTCGATATCGGCGCCGCGAGGGCCAGCAACATTCTGGCCATCGCTCGGACGTCCACTCCCTGTGTTTTTGTTCGGTTTCGTGCGTGTTTTTTTTTTGCTCGGCAAATGATCAAGGATGCTCCTCGATGGTCCTCGCCGAAAGAAAAATGCACACGTCCGAGCGATGCCGAGCATTGGATACTGAGAAGACGCCCGCCAGGGCCGGGCCGCCGGATCGCAGCTGTGAGCTCGCCGGACCGGGTTCCACGCTGGCCAGCCCGGGGCCGCCCGCTGGCCTTCAAAAAGTGCAACGCCCGCGCCGGGAGCGCCGCCGCGTCGCCGCGGCGCGAACCCGCCGAGCGCGACGCTTCTCGTCGGGCGCAGCCCCGTGCCGGCGAGGAGAGGCCCGCAGGAAAGAGAGAAGTGCGGGGCCCAGGGTGTCGGGGTGCAGGGGTGTCGGGATGTCGGGATGTCTGGGTGCCAGGGTGCCAGGATGCCAGGATGCCAGGATGTCGGGATGTCAGGCAGAGGTATCGATGGCAGGATGTCTGGGGCGAGCCGCCACGGTGGAGCCTCGAGGAGCCGTCTCGAGGCACTGCCTGGAGGTGTGGGCAGGAGCCCCACTCCTACGGACTGCCAGTGTTAGGTCCGGCCTGTCCCCCTACAGGGGGATTTTCGACGGAAAAAAAAGATACCCCCAAAATAACCCAAAATTGCAAAAAAGGTTCAAGAAATAGTCCCCAGGCTATTTTTGGTTTTTTTTTGATTACTGTTGGGGTATTTCTTTTTAGTTTTCGTTGAAAATCCCCCTGTAGGGGGACAGGCCCGACTTCATACTAGTGTAAATGATACGTTGGCCCCTCTCGGGGCGACTCCTATGGCAGACTGGGGCAGAATGCTATATTCATCCCTCTCGGGGGGAGTCCTTAGAGATGTGGGGAGAGTGCGAAACCTGAGAATACTGTGGTGTAATGGCGCACCTGCCCCTGTCGGAGAGCCTCTCAAGCGTCCCACTTGAGACATCCTCGAAAAGCTGATCGTCGCAAATCTGATGGCTTTTCGAACATGCGCGTTTCGCTCAAGACATCCTCGCAAAACTGGCAATGAGAATTACTCATGGTGCCATACATGATACCAAGATCAGAGCTACGATAGGAGCTTAGGGAGTGATAACAAAGTTCGGCCTCCCCTCCTGCGAAGGAGCCCTAGGGAGAATCAGATATAAGACTTCAGGGGGGGGACTCTTCATGATCATCGGGCTGCGGTTACGCGTTTTTTAGTCGGGCATGTCCTCCTACAGGCGGATTTGGCAAGAACAGTAAAAATAATCAAGCCGTACTCAGGAATGATGGAAACAAGCAATACAACATCGTGACCTGATTCTTTTCTACCCTCCTTGAATATTCCTCCTGTAGAGGGACATGCCCGACTTCAGCTAGAGGCCTCCTAAATGGGGACCGAATAGATAGGGTCGGAGGATCGCGCCGCATCGCCGATGCATCACCGATACATCGACGAATCGGCGATGCATCGGCGATGTCGGCGATGCATCGGCGACGTTGGCGAGGGGAAACACGGGCTCCACATCGAGCCGCATCGTCGATGCATCGGCGATGCGGCTCGATCCTCCGACACCATCTGCTCCGACCCTCTCTGGGAGGCCTAGATGAGCTTTTTCTCGGGGATCTTCTGACCTGGGTCAATCCAGACCCGGGTCAGCAGGAAACCAAAAAACTGCAATGCAGGAGACAAAAACTGCAATGTAGGTCTTCGCAAACCCGGGTCAGCCAATATGCGCGGCCGCCTCGCTGCCACGAGCGGCTCGCCGACCCGGGTCAGCCAGATGGGTCTTCGCAGGATCCTGCAGGATCCGGTGCCCTGGCTGACCCCCGTTTGCATTGACTCCCGTCTCAAAACTCCCGATTCTCGTTGTTCTCCGAACCTCCGGGGGCGTGGCCTCGCTGCGCAGGCAGACATGGTCCACGCGCGCCAGCCGCCCGAGGCCCCCGAACATGCCGAGGGCGTCCGCGTTCCAGGCCTCGCTTTAGGTCGGGCCTGTCCCCCTACAGGGGGATTGTCGACGAAAAATAAAAAATACCCCCAAAATAATCCAAAAATAATCCAAAAATACTCTGGGGACTATTTTTCAGTATTGTTTGACCTTTGCGGTGAATTCTTTGTGTATTTTAATTTTTCGTCGAAAATACCCCTGTAGGGGGACAGGCCCGACTTAAGCCTCGCTGCACCGGTACAGCGTCGGAGGCACGCCCTCGGGCAGCCACTCGAGCACCTGCAGGTGGGTACAGCGGAGGCTAGTCCACAAGAAACCGTGCATCCCAGGGCGTCCACTGATTTTGGGGTGTGGGGAAGTCACGCCTTCCACAACAGACCCCTCGAAACTCGCGCCTTCCACAGCAAAAACCCATCGAAAAACTCACGCCTTCCACAGCAGAAACCCATCGACAAACTCACGCCTCCCACAGCAAAAACCCATCGAGACCCGAGAGAAACCAGGGGCACCCTGGAGGCAAGCGGGGGTGCTTTTTGGCACGGGCCCCCACCGCGGGCGGCGCGCGGGAGTTGGCGGCGTCAGGGGGTCGGGGGGAGGGAGGGAGGGAGGAGGAGGAGGAGGAGGAGGAGGGAGGGAGGGAGGGAGGGAGGGGAGGGAGGGAGGGAGGGAGGGAGGGAGGGAGGGAGGGAGGGTCAGGGGGGAGGGGGGCGGGCGTCTTCGAGGGAGGCTGCTTCTTAGAGGGCGCCGGCCTCACATCTCTGGAAGAAGGCCCGCGGACCTCCTGAGAATCGGGGGTGCTCCCGAGAAGCCTTCCCCACTCCCCCACAACTGAAGGGGCCCTGGGACACACAAGGAGATAGACACAGATGACAGGATTCCCCACATGTTCTGGGTTTTTGTCTTCCCCCCACTTCCCATATTTTCCCATATTATCTTGGGAATCGACGATCAATTGTCTGTATGTTTTTTCCCCTCCTGACGTACCCCCCTCTGCGGGTGGCCGAAGAAGAATCGGCGGCGAGCGAAGGCAGGTCTGCGCTGGATCGGATCGCGACATCGGTTCGGGTCGGGGGCGGATCGAACCGCCAGGGAATCGTCCCGAATCGTTTCGGCATCGAATCGCCGCGCCCCGCTTCCGGCTGGCCCTGGCCGATGCCAGTGAATAGAGCCCGATCGCATCGAATTGGAATCGCGGCCCCAGCCGGCGAGTCGAACCGCATCGAATCGGATCGTAGGCGGCCCTGGAGGGGGGGAGGTGAGAAGGAGAAGCCCTTCTCAGAAGGCGGCGGGACTTCTCAGAAGACCCTCGCGCCTTCTGAGAAGTTCTTGTTTGTGCCTCGGGGGGAGGCTTCGAATACTTCTCGGAAGGCGGGGGGGCTTCCGAGTCTTCTGAGAAGGCCCGCCCCTTCTCACTTCCCCCCCTCGCTCGCGGCCGAGAGAAGAGAACACTGCACGGTCGAGGGTCCGCGCGGATTTCTCGGATCGGCGCCGGACCCCCCTCCATGACGCCCACAGCGCGCCGGTGACGGCGCCGCAGGCACCGCCAGGGGGTCCAGCGCCGATCCAAGACATCCGCATGGACCGCTGAACACTCTGGTTGGCTTTCGCCGTCTTTGCTCGCTCCGGCCTGGCTCCCGGGCCGCATCACGACCATCCAGGCCAACGGCGCCCCGACGGCCCCGATGAGCACGTCGGCGCTGCGGAAGACGCCGGCCTGGAACAGCAGCGGCTGCCGCCCGAGGTCGTCCACGGCCCGCCAGGTGGCCTCGCCGCGCGCCTGCAGCGGAGCCAGCCCGGCTGCGGCCAGCCCCGCCAGGTCCTCGCGGGTGGCCCGAGGTGAGCCTCGTTTATCCGACCCCGATACCCAGCGGCGTGGCCAGGGCTCCACTGGCCGATCTACCCCCCTGGATGGGGATGTTAGGGCCATTCCCTTCGGGTTTCGAGGGGTGTTTCCCCAACTGGGGGGGAATTTGGTGGGGGTCTCGAAAGAGATGGGGATGGGGACGGGGGTCGGTTAACAAACTACTGACGAGGAGCTGGGCCAGCAAGACGAGGGGTGCGCAGCCGGGCCCGAGGCGGCGGGGGCGCGCGGCCTGGCCCGAGGCGTGGGTGCGCAGGCGAGGGAGGGCCTGAGGAGGTGGTGCAAGCAAGGGAGGGGCCACGAGCTCTGAGAAGTCGTGGCCGTTTCCCGTGACACACACACACACACACACACCCTATGCATATAACTATGTATGATGTATGCATGCATGCATGCATGCATGCATGCATGCATGCATGCATGCATGCATGCATGCATGCATGCATGTGTGTGTATGTATGTGTGTATGGGTGGGTGGATGGATGGATGGATGGATGGATGGCTGGATGTACGTATGAATGTGTGCATACATGTATGCACATATGTGCGTATGTGTGTTTGTGTGCTTCAATGCGTGTACGTAGTCTGTATGCGCGTATGTGTGTACGCACGTATGTGCGTAGGTATGTACGAATGTGTGTATGAATATATGTATTCATGTATGCATCTGCGTGTCAGATTATGTGTATGCATGTGTTGATGTGTATGTGTGTATGCATGTATGCATGTATATATATATATATGTATATGTGTGTGCATGTGCATGTGCATGTGCGTATGTGTATGCGCATGTGTAGGTGTATGTGTGTCTGTAGGTGTCTGTGTATGTGTATGTGTACGTGTATGTGTGTATGCGTATGTGTATGTATGTATGGTTGTATGATTGTATGTATGCATGTATGTATATACGTACGCACGTACGTATGTATGCATGCATGCGAGCATGCATGCATGAATGCATGTATGTATGTATGATTGTATGCATGTATGTGTGTATGTATGTATGTGTGTATGTATGCATGCATGCATGCATGCATGCATGTATGTATGCGTGCACGTGTGTATGTATGCATGTGTGTGTATGTATGTGTGTATGTATGTATGCGTGTATGTATGTGTGCGTGGATGTATGTATGTATGTGTGTTTGTATTTACGTATGTATGGATGTATGTATGTACGTACGTACGTATGCATGCATGTATGTATACATGCATGCATGTGTAGGTATGTATGTTGTGTGTGTGTGTTGTGAATGTATGTGTATGCACGTATGTGTGCATGTATGTGTGTTGGTAGGTAGGTAGGTAGGTAGGTAGGTAGGTAGGTAGGTAGGTAGGTAGGTAGGTAGGTAGGTAGGTAGGTAGGTAGGTAGGTAGGTAGGTAGGTGGCTGAATATGTGTATGTGGCTGTGTTTGTGTATGTGTATGTGGATGTGCATGTGGGGGTATAGGTGTGTATATGCATCTGTATACACACATGTACATCTACACACAGCTAACCAGGCCCTCCCCCTCCCCCCCTCCTTGGCGCCCCTGGTCCTCGAAAGCGCGCAGGTCCTTCAGGTCACGCTGCACCAGCAGCACGGCCGGTGGCCCCTCCGCGGCAGCCGCGCGGCCCCAGAAGCCCGCCGCCAGGGCCTCGAGGTCTGCACCCCGCGCGGCCCCCAGGGCGCCCCGGAACACGTCCACCTCGGCGGGCCCCACGGCGCCGGGCTGCGCCAGCTCGCGGTCCGCGCGCATGTTGGCGTGGCCCCACAGCAGCGGCTCGAAGCAGCGCCGGCGCACTCCGCGGAAGAGGACCGGCGGCGCGGCCGTGAGCAGGCGCAGGAGCGGGGCGTACTGCACCGTCCACGCCTCGAGCTCGCGGGCCTGCTCGGCCAGGGCGGCCAGGTCCTCGGCGGGCGGCGGCGCGTACTCCAGCTTGCCCTCCTGTCGGGGAGAGGCAGGAGTCGGGCGCGGGCGGCTCGGGCTGGCCCGACGGGGCCATCATGATCATGATGGCCCCGTCGGGCCATCATGATCATGATCCGGGATGATCATGATCATGAGCATGATCATGATGATGATCATGATGGCCCCGTCGGGATGTCTGCATCCGGAGTTCGCGCCCAACTCGAGTTGGGCGCGAACTCCGGATGCAGACATCCCACAAGAATTGGAACGTCAGAACCCAGGACGCGCTCGTCAAAAAGTGTCGGCGAACCCGAAAGCCGGCGCCCTCCTCCTCCTCCTCCTCCTCCTCCTCCTCTCTCCTCCTCCTCCCTTGCCTCCTCCTCCACCTACTCCTCCCTTGCCTCCTTTCCTCCTCCTCTCCTCCCTCCTCCTCCTCCTCCTCCTCCTCCTCCTCCTCCTCCTCCTCCTCTTCCTTCCTTGACTCCTCCTCCTCCCTCCTCCTCCTCCTCGATGCTTACGTTCCTCCCCGATCCTGGAAGGTGTAGCCCTGGTACAGCAGCAGGAGCAGCACCTCGCCCGGCACCCGGCGGCGGAGCCTGGGGGGCGGGAGCGGTCCACCGTCGGGTCTGCGGGTCGGAAGCGGTCGGAAGCCATCGAAACAACATCAAAAACGATTCTCGGCGGCGAGCGAGCGAAGGCAGGTCTGCGCTGGATCGGATCGCGACATCGGTTCGGGTTTTTGTCTTCCCCCCCACTTCCCATATTTTCCCATATTTTCCTGGGAATCGACAATCAATTGTCTGTGTTTTTTTTTCCCCTCCTGACGTACCCCCCTCTGCGGGTGGCCGAAGAAGAATCGGCGGCGAGCGAAGGCAGGTCTGCGCTGGATCGGATCGCGACATCGGTTCGGGTCGGGGGCGGATCGAACCGCCAGGGAATCGTCCCGACTCGTTTCGGCATCGAATCGCCGCGCCCCGCTTCCGGCTGGCCCTGGCCGATGCCGGTGAATAGAGCCCGATCGCATCGAATTGGAATCGCGGCCCCAGCCGGCGAATCGAACCGCATCGAATCGGATCGTAGGCGGCCCTGGAGGGGGGGGGGAAAGCGAGAAGGAGAAGGCCTTCTCAGAAGGCGGCGGAACTTCTCAGACGCCCCTCGCGCCTTCCAAGAAGTCTCTGGCGTCTTCGGGGGGAGGCTCAGAAAACTGCTCAGAAGGCTTGGGGACTTCCGAGCCATCTGAGAAGGCCCGCCCCTTCTCCTTTCCCCCCCGTCACTCGTCGACGAAGGTCTGCAAGTCGGACTGGGTCGGGACCCGTCGGAACGTCCGGTGGCAACTCACGGGAGCCTCCCATACCAGCTTGTCGGCTCTTGCGAATCGACGCTCCTCGACGCTAAATCGACGCCAGTCGGCGCCAAATCGACGCTAAGCGACGCTAGCCGACGCGAAATCGGCGCCATCTCACGACTCCAAACGCGATTCGACGCCAATCGACGCTAAAGACGGAATTATGACGAGACACAAGGCTCCCATGATTTGCCACCGAACAAATCGGACCGGGTCGGGACCCGTCAGAACGGAGTCGGAGACGATCCCGATCGGCCGCGCCAGAGGGTGCGCAACAGCGTCACGCCAGCATCGGGACGCACCCGGACGCGTCGGAGTGTCGGACTCGGGTCCGATCGGATCGAGGCCCCGCCTGGGGTCCCCGTGCAGCCGCGCCACCGCGGGCACTAGCCAGTGCACGTTGTGCCAGATGTTGGTGGACCTCTCGGGCAGGTTCAGCACGAAGCCCACGGCGGGCCGCCCGGCTTCGGCCTCTAGGAGCTCGGCCTCGACCCGGAAGGCGTGCCGGTTGCCCCCGGTCTCGGAGCACGTCTCCAGGAAGGGCACCTGGGGGTGCTCCGCGACCGTGACGGTCCCGTCAACGACGCAGGCCCTCGCAAAGTCCATCGTGCACGCGCCGAAGCGGCCCTGCTGCTGGAGCCGCGACGGCGTCCAGAGCAGGCCGCGGTACGCCCGCTGGTCGACGCCAACGGGGCAGGGGCCCGGCGAGATCCGGTGGCCGAATCGGTTGAGGGCCCCGCAGCCCTCGTCGACCTCAGGCCAGCGGAGCGCCAGCCGCGCAAAGTTGTGCAGGACGTCCTCCTTCGTAAAGGGCCACCTGGTGTCGTCCATGCAGGTGTCGCTCATGGTCAGGAGCTTGACCATCATCTCTGCGGTGTTCAGGGCACCCATGACTTTCCCATCGAGCAGCCACCTCTGCATGCAGACGATGTTCTCCATGACTGCACCAGGCAGGCACGCGGAGAGCTTGGCGTAGGACGAGAAGATGCGCAGGAAGTCCTGGTCGAGCCACTCGTCACAGTGATCGGCAGCCCGAACCATGCGGTGCACCTCCGACGTGCTCCGCAGCACCCGGTCTGGAAAATCTGGCCGGGTGATGTGCAGGGAGAGGTCGAAGAGGGCGTGCAACGTGGTGTAGTAGTCGTAGCCCTCGACGCAGGAGCAGAAGTCCCGCTCCGGCCAGATCACGCGCCAGAGCGCGCCGAAAGAGAACCACACGCGCTGCTCCACCTTCGTGATCGGCCAGCCGCGGAACGCGCTGGCCTCCGAGAGGTTGGCGCCCCCCGACTCAACGGCGTAGAGCTCCAGCAGGCCATACTTCAGCACCACGTAGTACAGAAACATGTCGAACATGAACGGCGTGTTGGCCCTGCACACGCCCGCCAGCGACTGCGCCGCGCAACTCCTGCGGAGGTGCAGCAACATGCGATCCAGCTTTGCCAGCGTCCCCTGCAGCACCGCCTGGGGACAGCCTGGAAGCGCCGCCGAGAAGTCTCGGAAGACCTCGTCGACGCCAGGCGTGTCCTGGGGGGGCAAGCAGGTACCGATGCCACCACTTCTTGGACCTCTCCTGGGGTACATCCTGACGAGGATTTCGAGGCGAATCCAGCGATGGCAACGAAGGCCTCCAGAGGCTCAAGAAGGCGAAGACAGGACGAGGGTAGTGGTGCCGGTATAAGATGAAGCCAGGACGAGGACAACGCCGGGTACTCATAAATCGAGAGTCTCTGAGATCTGGCGGCTCTGGAGGATGTCTCGGGCGCCGCGGCCTTCTCGGAGCGCTCCCGAACGCTCCGAGAGCGTTCCGGAACGCTCTGGAGCGGATTTCTCCTCGTCCTGGTCCTGGCCCCGCCCGACGGTACACCTTCTCCCCCCCTGCTGTCCAGCTCTTGCAGCACCATGGGGTCCGGCCCCGCGCGCAGCAGCGCCGCGACGGCCCCGGCGCGGGCGGCGGCCAGAGCCGAGGGCCCCACGGAGCCGTCCGGGCGGCAGTCCGAGGAGCCGGCGCGCTCCCGCGCGCGGTGGGCCCCGAGCCCGCTGCGGACCTGGGGGCCTCCCAGAGCGGGTCCGAGCAGTCGGGGCCGAAGGATCGCGCCGCATCGCCAATGCATCGCCGACGCATCGGCGATGCATCGGCGACGCATCGGCGACGCATCGGCGACGCGTCGGCGACATCAGCGTGGAGAACATCGAGCTCCACATCGAGCCGCATCGCCGATGCATCGGCGACGCGGCGCGATCCTCCGACCCCATCTGCTCGGACCCCATCCTGGAGGCCTAGAGGACCCCGTCCGCCAGGGCGGGCAGCGCATCATTGAAGAGCACGGTCCCCTCGCCGCCGCCGCCGCCTTCCTCCTCCTCCTGGGAGGAGCCGAGCATCACCCCAAGGGCGAAGTGCCCCCAGTGAGGCGTTGCGGAGGGCACGGCTCCAGCCGGGGAGTGCGCCCGAACCTGGCCTCTGGGGGACCTGGACTGGGCACTTAGGACCCCTCCCTCGGGTACAAGGCGGAGGAGGAGGAGGAGGAGGAGGAGGAGGAGGAGGAGGAGGAGGGGCAGGAGGAAACCGAGGAGGAAGCCGTTGCCCGCTCGGGGTGGGGCCCGCGGGGGACCCACGGCGGACTGCGGCAGCACGGTGCCGCCATAGGGGTCGCGCGGGCCCCCCCCCCCCCCCCCGCCGCGTCGGCGGCCCCTGGTGGCAGCAGCCTGCGTCTCGGGCGGCCTGGCCGACGGCCACGAGGCCAGAGCCCGCCCGGCAAGCTCGAGTACGTCAAGCTGAAGGCCCTGGGGTCCGCCTGACAGCAAGCTCGAGTACGGCAAGCTAACAGGGATAATGGAGCCCCTGATCGAGATCAACATGGTCGTCGAGGTGTTTGCTCATGGAGCAAAATCGGCTCGAGGAGACGACCTCCATCCGGCTCGGAGCGCTCAAGAGAAACAGGCCAGAACAGGTCCAGCTGCAGACCCAGCTGTTAATTATGAGCCTGCAGCTGGCGCCGAAGGTGGCTGAGACCATCCTGCAAATGAAAGGGTTCACCCACTGCAGCAGGCAGCTCATCGGCAACCTGTGCGAGAAGGGTGGCCCGATACAATGCGCCCTCCGCCCTGGAGCAATACCAGGACTCCGCTGACGCGAAGCGCACTTTCCTGCACGCGCACCAAATGACGGGCATGTATTCGGCACGATGCACCCCGAGACGGGTTTGAGCAGGGACCGACCGTCCTGACAATTCTATAGTCCTACCACGACATGTTCTTAGAACCCAAAAACGTTCTAAGAACAACAACCGTGTCCTTAGAACATAAACCCGATGTGCTAAAACAAGACAGGCCCAGCCAGAAATGTTCCAAGAACATTCCGTGGAAACCACAAAAAAGGTTCTCAGAACATCGTTTGGCAGGGCCATCGGCGAGCCAGGACGCTTCGCCACTGCTTGAGGGTTGGCATCCGCGTGCGAGCTCATGCGGCACAGCCGGCGGAGCTTGCAGGTCGTCGTGCGGGCCGCCCTCGAGTGCCACGAGCCGGCGGGCGCCCCCGAGACCGCGGAGGCGCTCGCGGGCTTGCTGCTCCCGCAGTGGTGTCCTCCACCTCCAGAGCGCCATCCTCTTGGCGCTCGAGGGCCCCGCCGGGCACGTCAGGTGCACGCAGGAGGAGCGGCGCCACGACGGGGAGCAGTACCCGATTCGCCTCGGCGTGAGTGGCGCAGGAAGGGCGTGAGCGACGGCCCGGGCCCCCTAGCAGCTTTGCCTCTCCGATGCTGCCTGCCCCCGCTGAACCCGCCTTGGCCCCAGGTCGTGGGCACTTACCCGTCGACCTCGTCAACGCAGGCTTTGGTATTGAGAGCAGTGAAAGGGTGGAGGGCAGATATCGTGAGGGAGGTGATCCTCGCAATTTGTTTCCTCCGTGCCCTTCTTCTACCGTGACGACGTGGGGACGAGATGGACGGAATGGGCAGATGGTCTCCCCCGTTCTCGGCGCTGCCTCCCCGAAATACTGCGTTCCGCGTTCCCGCTCCACCGTTGTGGAGGGGCTGGTACGCCACGACGGCGCGCCGCACAAGCTGCCCTGGCGCTCTCGGCCCTATCATACTACGGAGCGTGCCCATATCTAGTAGATGCTTTCCGAGATAGGTCGTCGAGGCGATCCGCAGTCTGCCATTGATTGACAAGTTCTTGCTCGATGAATTGGGCGAACAAGTGGATGGCTCTGTTTCAGCACTTCCGCGACGTGCCTCAGCGAGCCTCCCGTCGTGCGGCGGCCAGAGATCCTGGCCTCCTCGCCGTGGGCGAGCGCTCTTTGCTGCCACGACTCCGGCAGCTTCAAGCCATCGTACGGCGACGAGATGATACGCGGGAGGAGGACGGAGGCGTCGAGGAGAGACGATGTTCTTCGTAGCTGTTTGGCCGCTACGCCGTCGGAGATGGCACGCAAGACCGCGACTTGGGCCTAGCGGCATCTCGCGACTCTGGCCTGATGCAGAGGAGGTGCAGGTGGGGTGGATGGAGGTCCTGGGAGTTGAAATGCACGCCGTTCTCGGCTAGGTTATCGTCATCTCTCGCACCCTGGCTCCGCCATCCCCCAATGTCCTGTCTCGTCTCGTCCGAGCCCCAACACCCGTGGTCGCCCGTGCCGCGGCGCGGCCTGGTTCCAGGAGGCCTGTCGCAACGGCGCGGCCCACTCCAGGATCTGCTCGTCCTGACGGCGAGGCCCGTGCCAGGGCACAAGCTTGCGCTCTTCGCCTTTGGCCATCGCGCCTCCCGTGAGCGCTGTGGGCGTGAGCCTCTCGCAGTCTGCTCCGTCGCCCAGCAGCTCAGTGCAGCTCGGCGCCCGTCGCCGAACACTGGAGTGCCTTGAGCCATGGACCTCGTAAGCGCGAGTCGGCGCACGGTCCCTCGCCCGTTCTCCGGCATCCTCGGGTCTTGAGGAGGGGGGGGCGATTGCCCAGTCAGGCCATGTGCCCTCTCCCGCCTCCGATCCATCCTGTCCGCATCATGTTCTTGCTCTCCGAGCTCCAGGCAATGTGCTAATTGAGGAGTGCCCGCGAGGGCGGCGGGAGTGGCTGCCGAAGGGCACCCCGAGCAGGCCTCCTCCAGCAACCTCGCCCCTTCCGTGCTCTTCATCCGGAGTTTCATCATGTTCATCATCACGTGGCCTCGCGCTGCCCCTCCTTCTCATAAGCCTGTGTTGTGCATTGCATTCCTTGCTTTCCGCGGTAACCCGACGCTTCAGGCGCCAGTTGGTGCCCCTGCAGCCTGCGCTAGAAAACGACGAGGAGGAGGAGGCGTCTGTTCTGGAGTACGTCTGGCCTTCCCTCCTCCTCTCGTGGAATGCGAGCTCGGCCGTGCATCGACGGCCAGACCAGAGGCCAGCCCTTGGCCCAGGACCGGCATCAGTCGCCTGTAGGACCAACCTGCGGATGATAAGGGGTACAGTAGGAACTCGACCACAAGAAACCTTCCACAAGAAACCCAACCCTGAGACACCAGGACGCCTTTTGATTTTTGGGTGTGGGAACGCCACGCTTTCCATAGCAAAACTATCGAAACCAAATACATCAAGAGCAACGTGGAGACAAACAGGGTGTATCTTGGCATGTGTTGCCACTGTGTATTGGTACGGGTGATCGGTGCCGCTATCGATCTGCAAGATTGGTGTCGGATCGGGTTGATTTATTGGCCTAGCGATATCTGTATCTAACTGTCGGCACCACTGCTTATTGTCTTAGTGTATGGTATGAAGAGTCATAAACCCACAATCGAAGTGTCATTCGACCTCTCTGTCTAGCCGCCGATATCATGATCAGCAGACCTATCGTTCCTACGATATGCCTGACGATCCATCTACTGGTCAATATGCTAATAACTTTACCCATATCGCGATAAACATCTGTATGCACACACGTGCACATCTGTCATAGCACTAGCGGTCTGTAAATGCATACACATACATGTGTCGTGTTTAAATGTATGCATACACAACAAACTTGAACCCTCGCTTGCGCTTCGCTCGCGCTCAGATGTTACATGTCTTGGAGGCTAACGGATAACGCACGAGAGGGGCCGCAACTGTAAGGTTTCTTGGAAAGCTCTTGGGACCGTCTTGGGACCATTTGGGGCTGCCTGGGGGCGTCTCGAAGCCATCCGGGGCCGTCTTGGCAGTCCTGAGGCTGTATCGAAGTCATCTTCGGCCGTCTCTGAGCCATCTTGAAGGGTCTTCTTACAATCGCTTGGACGTCCATTCCCCACACATTTGTCAGTTTCGTGCGCTCCATGTTGTTCGCAATATGATTCAACATGCCCTTCGATGGTCCCGATGGTCCAGACTTTCTGGCGCTGGCATCGCCGAGAAATGATGCGCACGTCCGAGCGATGCCAAGCCTTGGGGGAACCAATCGGCCGTCTTGGGTCTCTCCAGGGCCCTTCGCGGATAACGTTGAGGCCTCAGAAGCCACTCGGAAGCGACAAGGCGAGATCGTCCGACTCCTGTGGGTTCCCTTCGGCGTTTGAAAGAGTTGGCCTCCTGGGCGGCACTTTGAAGCCTCCTGGAAGCCTCTTGGGAGCCTCTGGCCGCCTTGGGGCGATCCTGGGAGACCCCTGAGCGCTCACGGAGAAGCCCTGGGTGCCCGAGGGGCTCCCCTCGGGGCTCCCTCGGGCGTCTCGGGTCCAGAAGCCCCCAGGGCCCCTCGGCAGTGCAAGGGCGAGGTCTTCACCGATGCCAGCTCTCTTGCTGCGAGTGCCGACACATTGCGGCCCCCTCGGGGAGGCCCGTCCTGGGGCGGTCTTGGGGCTCCTCTCGGGGCGCCCTGGGGCCACTTCGGGGCCCCTTGGGGGCATGCTGTGGGCCTGTCGGGGGCCCGACGGCAGCCTCGGGGACCCGTTGCTGTCGGATGGCTCCGAGGGTCCGTTGGAGTGTCCCCTTTGGGCTCCCTCCGGGGCCCTCTGCGCGGGTCTGCTTGGGCCGTCATCGGCGCCTTTCGTGCGGTGTCTGGGCCCTCCTGGGCCGTCTTCAGGGCCATCTTGGAGGTTTCTTGGGCCGTCTGGGGCGGTCCAGGGGCCTCTTTGGTAGATTTGGCGGCTGCGAAGGCTCTGGAGGCGAGCGTGCCAAAAACGCATGCTTCCCCGAAAGAATATATCGATGTGTGCCTCTCGGGGCTCTCTCGGGTATCGTCTTCGAGGGCTATTGGGGCGTCTTCGAAGCTTCTGAAGCCTCGTAAGCCGCTTGAGACTCCTGGGGCTCGCACGTGGCGAAGATTCACGCAAACCTCGGTCTTGGCAGGAGGAATCGGGGAGATGTCAGACTCGGGCTCGGGGGACTCGGGTTGGCCTGCTGGGGCCATCATGCGAATGACGAGGACACGGTCCGAAACTTGACGCGAGCTCCCGCCGCAGACATCCCACGATTAAACTGGACCGTCACAAAATCTGGGACGCGCTCGCCAAGGAGCGTCGGCCAACCCGCGTTCCGGCGTGTACTCGAGTCTTGCGTCTTGCGCTTCCCCAGCACGGGAAGTAACTAGAGTTAGGTCCGGCGTGTCCTCCTGCAGGCGGATTTGGGAGGAACAGTACGAAGCTACCCAAAAAACAAAATTAGCCAACAATTGCTCAAAAGATCGTCCCCTGACCATTTCGGACTAGTTTTGAATGCTCCTCCTGTAGAGGGACAGGCCCGACCTAGAACTAGAGCTGAGCGTGCGCTCGCACGTGGCGAAGTTTCACGCAGACCTCGAGACGCCTCGAGCCTGCCTTGGCAAGAAGCACGCGAACGACGTTTTCTGATTCGGCGTTTCGAGATTGGGCGGCAGAGGGAGTAAGGGGGGGGGTCTGGCGCCGAACCTCTGCTGCATGCGACTGCTTGGGACAATGCGGCTCATGGGGGAGCCTCCACCTGCTCGAAACCAGGCACCAGGATCTGCTCCACGGGGGCGGGGGGGGGGGGGGGAGGGGGGAGGGGGTGCGAAGGCCCGCGCCGATCGGCAAAACAGCGAAGAAGAGAACGATCGCCTGGGAGGCCTGGGAGGCCGAGGCGCTCCCAGACATGCGACGTCCTAATTTTTTCAATACGGGGTCCCTGGAGGTCCCGACCCCTTCCCCGGGACCGGTGTTTCATGCGGAGTCGTTCTTTGACGGCCCCGAGGCCCAGCGAGAGCTCCCCGAGGCCGAACACTGGCCAAAAAACCTCCCGTCCTGCTTCTTGTCACGACGCGCTCGTGTCTCACCCCCAGGAGGAGGAGGAGGAGGAAGAGGAGGGGGGAGAGGAGGAGGAGGAGGAGGAGGAGGAGGGGGAGGGGGGAGGGGGAGGAGGAGTAGGAGGAGGAGGAGGAGGAGGAGGAGGAGGAGGAGGAGGAGGAGGAGGAGGAGGAGGAGGAGGGCTTTCTCCCCGCTGGCCCCCGGCCCGCTCCGCGGCGGCGGCCCCCGCGGCCGCCCGCAGGAGGCCCAGCGAGAGCCCCCAGGGCGCCGGCGCCCGCGGGGGACGCCCGCCGCCGGCGCGGCCGCATGCGCGGCGCGGCGGCGGGCGCGGGCGCGCAGCGCGCGGCGAGCGGGCCGCCCGGCGGCGAGGCACCGCCCGCCGGCAGGCGCAGACCCCCTCGGGCCGTCGTCGTCGTCGTCGTCGCCGCCGCCGTCGTCGTCGTCGTCGCCGTCGTCCCCGTCGTCGCCGTCGTCGCCGTCGTCGCCGTCGCCGTCGCCGTCGCCGTCGCCGTCGCCGTCGCCGTCGCCGTCGCCGCCGCCGCCGTCGTCGTCGTCGTCGTCGTCGTCGTCGTCGTCGTCGTCGTCGTCGTCGTCGTCGTCGTCGTCGTCGTCGTCCCAACCCCCCTCGGGCCATGAAAAAAGCACGGCGGGTGTCTTTCCTCCATGTTCGGCCTCCGGGGGCCCTTGCCGGGCCTCGGGTCATGAAGAAGTCCTGGCGGGAGGTCTTGCTCGAGGTTCGGCCTCCTCCGGGCCTCGGGACCGTCAGAAAAGGATTCAGGACGAAAAAACCGGTCCCATGCAGGGAAGGGGTCGAGACCTCTTGGGTGGGGTCGACACTCCGAAAAAATCATGACGTCAGGGGTCTGGGGAGGGGGGCACGCTTCTCAGAAGACGCAGGCACTATGCACCCATAGACGAGGCCCGCGCCTCCGAATTAGGAAGCAGGGGTGTTTCTAAGAAGCCTGCCCCCCTCCCCCGTTACCCCCCCCAGGCCTTCCACCCTACACCCACAGACGAGGCCCGCGCCTTCTAGGAAGCAGGCAGCCTGCCCCCCTCCCCCGTCACCCCCCCCTGCGCGCCGCCGAGCCGGAGGGCCGGGTCCGTATACCACGGGCACTCCGAGTAGCCTTTCTGTTGCGGGCCAGGGGCCCGGTGCAAAGGCCCGCCGAGGCCGCGACCTGCCAAAGGGGCAGCACGCGGGAGGCGAGGCGCTGGAGGCGAGGCGGGGGAGCGCCGAGCGGCCAGAGGCGGCCGGAGGAGGGAAGACGGGGAGCAAAGAGGAGGAGGCAGGGAGCAGGAGCGGCAAGGAGAGACGCAGGCAGAAGCAGCACAGACAGAACAACTTTTGGAGGTCCGCGCGGATCTCTTGGGCTGCGCCGGACTCCTCTACCTATAGCGCACGGAGCGCGCCAAGGGCGGCGCCGGAGGCGCCGCAGAGGGGGAGCCCCAGCACGGACCCAAGAGATCCGCGCGGATCGACGCAAGCTGATGTGTGTGCCGTTTGTTCTTCCTCGAAGGGAGGGAGGCGGCCACGGGAGAAGGGCCAACGGCCGCTCGGTGCATCAGCGGATGGGCGCAGCAACAGTCTCGCCGGCGCGCCGGTGCCGGGAACCACTGTTGAGGGAAAGATTCGGGGCGCCCGTTCTGTTCGGCATCTATCCTCCTCCACTGCGTTGAGGGATGCTGGAGATCCTCATCTATCGAACACTGGCTGGACCGAGGGCGAGCGCGACGAGGACGAGGAAGACGAGGAGGACCACGACCCGTCCAGGTCGACGACGACGACGACGACGAATGGCGACAATAGGGCATCCAGGTCGACGACGACGGACGACGATGACCGTGGCGGCGCGGAAGCGGAAGGAGCGAGAGAATGGAAAAGGGAGGAGAGGGGAGGGACAGATGAAGCTGCACGCTTGAGTTTCAAGCGTGGCGGACCCCCACAGGAAGCGGTGGGTAGCATGCTGTGGCTCAGTGCTGGGCCCAGGGGGAAGCGAAGCGAACGCTGGAGTCGTGCGCGCTCCATGAGGGAGCCCGCCCGTGCAAATGAGGGCATCGTGTTCAAGCCGTGGCCTCAGAACTCGAGCTCGGGAAGGTTAAGTTACCCCGACGCACTTCCTGAGACCCGCTGTCTGGAAAAGAAGTGGGCCCTGGGGGGGAGGGGGAGGAAGAGGAGGAGGAGGAGGAGGAGGAGGAGGAGGAGGAGGAGGAGGAGGAGGAGGAGGAGGAGGAGGGAGGAGGAGGAGGAGGAGGAGGAGGAGGAGGAGGAGGAGGATGAGGAGGAGGGGGAGGAGGGGGAGGAGGAGGAGGGGAGGAGGAGGAGGAGGAGGAGGAGGAGGAGGAGGAGGAGGAGGAGGAGGAGGAGGACTTTTTTTTATAACATCAACAACTGCCAAGCCGTACTCTCTGGGGGGACGGCGCCTCCCCCCATAGGAGGGGCAGGGCTGGGTGGCGCCACATGCCACTTACGCCACCAGCCCTGCCCCGCCGCTGACGTCACGGCAACTGCGGGGGGACTCACGCCGAAATGGCTGCCAGTCCCGCAGTGCCGTGGAAACAGCGGCGTCCCCTCGCCCCGCCCGCGTTGGGGGGAGCAGAGGGAAAAACATCTCAGCCTGCTGCGTACGCTCCACGCTGATGGCAGAGCGAGGCGACCTTGTTGGGCCGAAACACGACGCCAAAAGGAGGCTGGACGCTCCTCGACCCCCGCGGAGGGGACGAGACAAAACTAAAACACAACCCTTAAAGGGAAGGCGCTCTGAGACCAATGATTTCGAACAATCCGAATCAAAAGTTGGGGACGGGCAAAGAGGACGAGGGCGCAAGGGCGGAAGTCGCCCCTGCTGGCAACTCTTCTGGTCGGCCTACACCCAAGTTCTTCCTTGGGTGGCGGCCTAGCATGACTTTGTTAAAATTCGTGCGGCCATGGCCGCGCAACTCGTTAGGACATTCCTTGGACAAAGCAGTCTTGACAAACACAGCTTGATGCATAAATCCCCCGCACTTGGGGCAGACATAAAAATCAGAACCATCCGTGCACGGCAGGATCACAACGCTGTGCAAAAGAGAATCAGCGATGTCCAGATCTGCGCTGGCTTCGCCGATGCACGATCCACCAGGCGGCTTGACACGAGAACGAGAGCCTAACCTGCACACAACGCACCTCCACACTGAGTGTTGCCACTGCCACTGATGCTGGACCACGGGCTCCTCGGGACCTCGGGTGGTGCGGCAAGGAGTGACAAGCGGAGCGTCCTCCAAGTTCAATCGTGGCCACATCGGGAGCAACTTGGCCGCTAGTCGGCACACTACTTTACTAATTTTGACAGCGCGGTTCACTCGCTCTTCTTCGTCGGGCGACGGTTGGGGGTGAGAGCGGGCCCCGCGCTGCGCAGCTTTGTCGGCATAATCGTTACCAAACCTACGGACTCTCTCATCATCCGAAATGCCTACCTCGTCCTTGTCCTGGTGGGCTTTAACTTTCACCACTGACTGGACGAACGGGGCATTATTGATATACAGAAACTGGCCAGCATAGCGCCTCCTGTACGAAACACGTTCGCTAGGGGGCAGGCGGAAATGATTAACTACCGCAAGGCAGTCAGAAAAAACCTCAGAATTGGCAACAATATGGAGAGCGGCCATGGCGAGGGCACAATACTCCCCAGCTGGTGCTGTCTGGCTGATCGGGTGGTGCACAGGGCCATGCAGGGCGCACAAGAGGGAGCCTTGGGGGGAGACCATGCAAACCCCCCAGCCCGCCCTTGAAAGTTCGGAGATGGGATGCCAAAAACAACTCCCGTCGACATAGATACTGCCCTGCAGGTCCCCATTAGCGAGCGCCTCCGAGTAGTCCTCTTCCTCAGTAGCTGGCAGGATGGCCCCACCCCCCGAGCTAAGGGCCCTTGGCCAGAACGATTCTGGATGCTCAAAGATCCCCCGATCGAAAAGGATGCGATCCCCATCCGACAGCGGACCCAGGGCTATCTCAAGGATCTCTGGAGGAATAAGCTCGCTGCGAGTCTCAGACACCGCGGGGCACTCGTAAAGCCTGTGATGCACAGAGTCTGGATGAGCACGACATAGTGGGCAGAGCAACTGCTCGTCACTGAGCTGGTAGCCCACCTCAGCGGCTCTGTCGGCTGTCCAGGCTCCACCGCAGCACAGGTTCCTGATCGAACCCTTCTCCAGTGCAGAATATTTCTTCGAACGCAGCTGGCTCTTGCAGATGTCAAAACAAGCCCGATCCCACCCAACATCCAAGCTACTTCCCACATGCATTTCCAGGTCCCTCACCACCGCCCGCCTGAGGATATCCTTCAAGAGGGTTGGGCTGACAAAGGTGAGAGAGACTGATGTGCCGTCGTGCATGGCGAGAGTGGCGTAGTTGGGCATGGACCAACCGATGCGCTTGACAGACAAGAAGAGGGCAGAGATCGGGCCAGCGACAGATCGCCATGTCTTGGGCTGCAGCTTACCCTCGAATACCGACGACCAACACCTCCTGAGCTCCTTATGAGGCATACCCCCCAAGTACTGGTGATACTGGGCCGCCCATACCTCCTTCCCCCAACGAACGATAGGTGCGACCATCCCGTAGTACGTGGGGTCGTCCTCGCAGACCAAAGCAGAAGAGAGGCTGCGCCCGCCACAAGACGGTCTAATACACTTACCCGCTTGACGGCGAATGTAACCAAGCTCGGCGTCGCTGACTCCGTGGATCTCGCAGCCAAAATTAATCCCTGCCAAAGCCCCACTGGTGAAAATCTTTTTAGCAGAACGGCCCAGGACCTGACGCTGTTTGCAGATCCTGTTGACACGCTTGTCGAAGGTGGAGCGGCGCTGCTTGGCTTTCCCACGACGGCCCTTGACCCTCCTAGGCAGTCCAGCGGTATCGTCAGTCCCCAGGTTGACAGCCGAGGAGGTCCCCCCAGGGCCAGCCCAGACACCCAAGAAGGCCAGGAGTTTTTCCCCAAGACGCCGCTGACTGCATACGAGGCTCGCCTTGTCGGGAGCGACCTTGCACTTAATATCGGCCTCCACAGCCTTGAACAAGCCCACAGCCCCGACGGTGATGGCCGAATAAACTTCATAGAAACTACCCTGAGCAGACAGGCCCAGGTCATCAATGTAAAGATCCAGGCTGGACGACGGATGCAGCTTGACATTCAAAAAGGCTTTCATGTAATAGGCCCTGACAAAACTGGTGGCAATGCTGCATCCCGCAATGACACCACGAATCGCCAGGAACGGCCCCTGGATGAAGCCGCTGATGTTTAAGTACCTGGGGGCCCGATAGGCCGTGATGCAGAGCCTGGAAACAACCTGGGGGATATCCGACTCATCACATCTGGTAGCAAGGTCCTCAAGATCCATGGTTTCGTAGAACTTATACATGTCCCAGAGGAGGGACGCCGAGCACTTGCCAAGCTGCACGGCCGCTTCACTCTTAGTAGTCTGCCGCCAGACAACATCCGAAGCCGACTTGAAACCGTAGGCAGCGAACATAGCATGCTGGTTAGCCTCCTCCCACATCATCGCCTCCCTCCTCCTGCATCTCCCCCAGAGTCTGTAGGGCGAGGTGAAGATGCCTATGGGGCGGAGGCCGCCAGACGGTTTGGCCAGCTTTGCCAGCATGACTAAACGCAGCTGCTCAGGCAAGACGGCCACCGTCTCCATGATGGCGAAAAGCAACGAGACAACTTGCAGGGCCTTGTCACACAGCAGCGCGTAATGCCGAAGGTGAAAGCCGTCAACAGACACAGCTGACCGCCTGGAGTAACCCCTGCTCTTCTCCCTCAAGCACTCGGGCGAAACCAGGGGAAGATGTTCCAGGGGTTGGTAGGGCTTGGGGTCCATCAAATCGAACAGTTCAGTTTCGGCCAGCCATAGCTTCTGAAAGCGTTCCCCTTCAGCGCGCAGAAGGGAACGAGGATCGGAAACCACCTGGCCCGCAGCACTGAGGGTCGCGGAGGGAACCCAAGCCTCTACAGGACGCGTCCAGGCGTGAGCATTGCGGCCGCCGCCCTGGTCTATGTCCCTTAGAAGCCACTCCTTCCACGACCGCTCACCTGCAGCTCGAGCCGCCTTGGCAGTCGAGTCCAGTAGGTCAGCTAACTCGATGGACACGCCGCCTATGGCCTCCAGGGTGATCTTGTCCTGCCTAATGAAGCCCAAGACTCTACGGTGGGCCTCGAAGATAGCACCAGACCCCATGTGCTTCTGTATGAACGGCGAGGGGAACTCCAGAACCTTCTTGGCACTCATAATAGGGATCCCACCAGAACAGTTGCGATGCAAGGTCCTCCAGGAAGTGGTCCAATCCCTGAAACTCTGAGAAAGCCATCTACGAACAAAAAGTTCAGGATGCCGAGCTGGCCGCTGGTCACGCCCCAAGACAGGAACCCACCAGGCCTTGGGAATCTCTCCTCGACACCCAGTCTGGGGGAGCTTAACCTGAAGTTGATCGGCAAGTTCAGCTTCGGCAAGGTTGGCCCATCGCTTATACAAGTCGGTGAGCCCGTAGTGAGCATCCAGAGAACCCCGACGGGCACATTCGAGGACTTCATAAGCCAAGTCCAGCGTGGAATCCCAGTCCTGGGGAGCAGGTCCAGGCCCGACAGGGACTTCCACAGGCAAAGGAGGAGGCTTCCTGAACTGTAAAACTCTAAGATCGGCTAACCTGGTATGGAAATCGACCCCCGCGGGCGAGTGGGGAGACGTCGGAGCATACCTGTCGACCCACGTATCCCTGATACCTTTAGATAAACCACCAGAGACCACGAAGAAATCATACACCTTTCCACCAGCTGAGCTAAGACAAGTGGACAAACCTGCCGTGATCACCTGGCCCTCTAACTGCTGAACGAAATTGGAGTCGTCAAGCAGCGAAGGCTCCATATTGAAATCGCCTCCGATCACAAAACTGCTGAGGCTGCTACTGGCAATCGAACCGATCTTCGAAAGCAGGGCCAAATTCCTGTCGGACAAACCCTCGCAGCACGACAAGCAGCAGGAGATGCACAGGATGGGAGGAAGGTCCCCAACATGAACAACCCCTGCAACGGCACGAAAGTCTTCAACCACATAACCCCCAGGGGGCCAATGAAGGCCCAGGCCAGCACGAGCTAGAACAGCCACACCTCCTGAAGTACCTAAGCCGGACGAAGCCTTAGCACACCCGAAGATCGATTTCCAACCGTGATTAAGGGCCCAGCGCTGAGCATCTAAGGTCTGGTGCGCGAGCAAGTGGTGCTCCTGGAGCAACACCACGTGCGCCGCCGTCTGCAAGAGCCAATCCTTAGCAGAACTCCAGGCCGTGCAGTTGCAAGTGACTATCTTCAGGTTAATGGCATCCCCCCCAGGGGCTGGGGGGGCCCTAAAAACTTCAAAACTTTCAGGTCGAGACAACGAACCTGAGGGACCAGGAGTCTGCGGGCCGACAGGGGAAAACGCAAGATTGGGCTGAACACCAGCCCGCTTTTTGCAAAAGTCCCCCTGTTTGCAGACGCCTAGGGCACTGTTGGCGGAACACAACAGCGAAGCTATATATTTATCAAGAGAACGAATGGACTGGGCCAGGCGATCCTCGAGCTCCGCTCGATTCAAGCTAGCACAGCGTGGAGGCTGGGAAGAAATGGAATGACGGGCCCCCCTGCCCGCGCTCACAGTGGAGTCACGCGGGAGGGGGCAACGGGCACTTGTTGGGGCCCAGGGCTGCCTCAGCACGTGCTCGGACGTCGGGAGGTGCATCACCGGCGTCGCCAGGCTGCTTGGCCCCCTCGCCGTCGGGCGGGCCCGCCGCGGTGCTGGCAGCCGTGCGGCCGTCAGGGCCCGTGCCCGCGCCGTTGGTCGCAGCAGCCTGGCCAGACCCTGCGCCGCCGCCAGCAACGGCCGCGCCGCCCTCGCCCTTCCTCTTCTTGCCAAGACGCTGAACATGCTTAGCTTGCTCCTCACGAGCAGACTGGGCCTTCTCCAGCGCCCCCTTGAAGAGGGAGTTGCACGCCTCGCGGAACTGCTCATTGAGCGCTGCCCGCCGAGCTGCCATTTGCTCCTTGTCGTCGTCGGAAACCTCGTACTCGCCCTCGTCGAAGAGGAAGATCGAGTCCAACGAGACCATATCCAGCACATTGCACGAGCCCTGCATGAGCTCCGACACGTCCACCTTGGCGCGTCCAAGCGGCTCTGCGGGGGTGGGGTCGACCACGTTCCCAGCCAGCTCGCGGACCAGGTCCTTGTAGTTGTCGTCGGCCGCCTGCAAGGACTGCTGAGCCGCCGCCGTCGCAACCTTCTGCTCCTCCACCTGCTTCTCGAGCTTGGTGAGCTTGTCGAGCTCCGTGGACAGCTTGCGCTCCCAGTACTGCACACTGCTGTGGGCCTTGGCCGCGCGCTGCTGGACGGGGGCAGGAGTGGAGGTGCGGAGCAGCTTGTCGAGCGCCGACTTGTGACGGGAGGCCGCCTCGCCGTCGCCAGACTTCTCGCACAGGCCGATGAGCGTCCGCAGCTCGGACTCGGACAGCTGGGCTGAAGATGAGCCACCTGGATGCCCGCCAGCACCGCCAGGGCCGCCAGGAGCAGGCACAGGCCCAGGCTTGAGGGCAGGCCAGTGGGTTCCCGACTTCGGCCAGCCTTGCCCGACGAGACCTGGGAATCCTGCACGCATCTCGCCGCAGTGCTTGCAGGCGATCCAGCCCTCGAGGTTCTTCTTGCATCCACAAGCTTCGCAACGCCAGCGGCGGCCTGACCACGACACAGTGTTTTGGCGGGAGGGAGACCAGTTCCAGTGGCCGTCGCCGTCAACCCGGGTGTCCCACTGGCCGGACGATGGCCCAGCCCTGGCCGCCGCCGACCCTGCTCTCCAGGGAGCCTGAGTCGACCACGCCCCACCGCCATTGCTGCGAAGCTGCCAAGCATTCTTGGCCATGCGAGAAAGATACCGAAGCCAAAAAAAGGCTCGCACACACAATGCTGTCCTGAAGTTGGTGTGTGCAATGCCCAAAGCTCGGGCACAGGACAGCTGGAGGAGGAGGAGGAGGAGGAGGAGGAGGAGGAGGAGGAGGAGGAAGAGGAGGAGGGGAGGAGGAGGAGGAGGAGGAGGAGGAGGAGGAGGAGAGGAGGAGGAGGAGGAGAGGGGAGGGAGGGAGGAGGAGGGAGGGTGGAGGAGGAGGAGGAGGAGGAGGAGGAGGAGGAGGAGGAGGAGGAGAGGAGGAGGAGGAGGAGGAGGAGGAGGACGAGGAGGAGGAGGAGGAGGAGGAGGAGGAGGAGGAGGAGGGAGGAGGAGGAGGAGGAGGAGGAGGAGGGGGCGAATGGGAAGCACGAGGCGGCGCCAAGCACGCGGACGCCATGTTGTCAACTCGCGCCACGAGGCCACCCACGCGCCGGGTATGTACCGCCCGCGAGGCGGGGCGGCGCCGCCGGGCTACCAGTGCACGCCGCGCGTCATGGCCCTGGCGGCTGGCTCTTCTTCATACAGCGGAGGCCAGTCCGCAAGAAACCTTCCACAAGGAGCCCAACACTGAGACCACAGGACGTCCATGGAGTTCTGGCGGAACGTCGCGCTCTCCGCCGCCAAACAGTCGAAACCCAGCAAAAACCCAGGGCACCCTGGAGACAGGAAGGGTGTCTCTTGGCACGGGCCCCCCCTGTCTTCCTCCGCGCGGCGCGACGCCACATGGCCCAACACCTCCGGCACGGTGGCGCTGTTCCGCCCGTGGAGCACGAGGGGCCAAGCGCACTGGGCCGCTCACCAGTCGCCCGAGAGGAGGCCGAGTCAGGCTCGTGGACGTCGGCGCCTGGGGCAAGGACCCCGAGGGCCCTGCATCCCAAGGAGGCTTGGGCCAGAAGGGCGGGCCTCTGTGGACCCTCGCCGGCGACGGCTCAGCTTCCCTTCTCCGGCACGTTGGCACACTGAGTCCACCAGAAGCCCCTGGAAAACCGTCCCCGTGCCTCAGATCACCCGTGCCCCAGAGGGCCCCAGGTCCTCTCCTCCTCCCTCCCCCCGTTCCCCCTCTCCCCGCCTTCTTCTCCTCCCTCGACATGAGCTTTCCCATCGACATCTGGTAGGGCATCGGCTCTGGTAGTTACTCCCTCCGTCCCGCCAATGCCTGCTGGAGTCTCAATTGATGGCATCTTCGAGCACCTCGTGCCACCTGGAACATATAAAACCACCCAGAACCCCCCCTGCGCCGGTCCAAACCATTCTCTCCCTCCTCACCTTCCGTCCCCCTCATCCTCTTCCCATTCCTCTAGGATGACCCAAGGTCGGATCGGAAAAACGAATCGACAATCAAAATACGTCGAATCGGCAGGAATCGGCAGGCAGATCGAAGGGCATCGAAGACGACGCCTGGCGATCCGAGCTGAGGCCTGCACGAGGAAACCTGAACCGGAAATTGGTAATTCGGAGGCACATGGAATCGAGGTCGAGATCCTCGAAATCGAACCGTCTCGATTCGAATCGACGGGGTCAATTTAGCTCCCGTCCCTCCCCTTCCTTCAGCATCGGCCACGGAGGCTCCCACAGGGGACCAGGCAGCACCAGCCGAAAGGGGGCCTCCGCGGCAGCCAGAAAGGACCGCAGGCAGGGCCATCGCCTTCGGCGACGGCCCTCGCTTGCCGCCCACACCGCCCCGACTCCCTGGGACAAGGGAGGAGGCAGGATCAGCCAGCAACGAACGGGCAACTCGGATCGCACCGACATGGGCATCGGATCGGGCTACGGCAGGTTCGTGTCGTGACGACCCCGGCGTTGGTTTCTGACACCGCGTGGATCGTTCAACCTTGAACAATCGGCAGCTTTCCCACCGCCCGATCGTGCCATGTAGGCCGATTCTGGGCCACTGGCGGCGTGCAACCTTGAACGTCCGCGGCGGGGTCGCCGCCGGTCGACACGACGCGAACCTACCGTACGTCGGCACGGCAGCTACGTCGGATGGGAACGGCCGCGCCAAGATGCACCGCAGCGCCAGAGGCATCGGATCGTCGGCACGGGGGACTCGCTTCGGGTCGGGCCGGCAAGGATCGGCATCGAGTGGGATCGGTCGGACCGAAACGAGCCCCCAAAAGGGTGTCCTGACGCCAGACATCTTCTCCTCCAGCAGGCTCTGGCGCTCGAGCTCCTGCGGCACTGGCGGGCAGGCGAGACAAGGAGGAACGGAGAGGAGCGAGGAGCTTCGGGGGGGCGGGGGTCGGGCAGGCTTTTAGATGGCTTGGGACCACTGGATGGGGCTTCAGGGTCTACGGATTCGAAGGGTTCCCCTAGGGTCCGGGCGGCTTATCCTTCTCCTCCTGCTACTCCCAGTTTGCTTCCTCTTCTTTTCTCCCCCTGCTTCTCGTACTCCTCACACCTCCATCCTCACAGTAGGGCTACTGAATGCGTAGAATTCTTCTCATAATCCAAACTCCCCCTCCCGGAACCAGGACCCCATCCCGCCTTGAATACTCCCCCATCCTCCTTCGTAATCGGTACCCCCTCCACCCACCCCACCCCGACGAGCACACACGCACACACACAAACACACACACACACACGCACACACACACACACACACACACACACACGCACGCACGCACGCACGCACGCACGCACGCACGCACGCACGCACACACACACACACACACACACACCCTCAACCGCCCTGCCCCCCATCCCTCCTCGAGCTCCAGCAGAGGCGAACGCGACGGCGACGATTACGCCGACAACAATGACGACGACGATGCGGACCGATGCGGACAACGAGGCTGACGACGACGATGCGGACGACGACGACGACCACGACGACGACGCGGACGGCGGCGGCGGTGACGACGACCCGGCGGCACCAAAGACGACGACGCTGACGACGACGACTGTGACGCTGAAACTGGCGACGACACGAACGAGGATGAGGCGGACGAACGCTCTGGAACGATCTAGTTATTCTCATCCTGGCCCTGCCGAGTGGGGACCGGGACCAGCTCTTTCCTCCCGACTTGCTCTCGCGGGCGGACCCAGGGGGCTCGAGGGCACAAAGGAGGGCCCAGGAAGGGGGCGAAGACGGCGGAGAACCTCCGGACCTCCCTCCCTCAGGGGCCTTTCCCCAGTCTTCTGGGGCGAGCATGCTGCCACGCGAGGACAACGTGAGCTCAGGACGCGCTCCAGGAGCCCCGAGGCATCCAGCGGCCCTCGCTTCTGGAGGATCCGCGCGGAAGGGCAGGACGCCGTGGAACAACTCTCCGCTCGGCGGCGTGCCCGGGGGGGGGATCGCGAGACGGAGCCGGCCCTCTCAGAAGGCGGCGGGGCCTTCTCGGAAGCCCTCCTCGCCATCGCTCGGACGTCCATCCCCCGTGCATGCTTCGAGGTCGTGCGCCGATGCCTTCGTGACGGGGATCCAGTAGGTCTGCTCCTCGATGGCCCTCGCCGAAAACATGCCCACGTCCGAGCGATGGCAAGCCCCTGGCCTCCTGAGAAGTTGTCTGTGCCTGCGGGGGGGGGGCCTCGAGACAACTTCTCAGGAAAAAAAAAAAAAAAAAAAGGCCGAGGCCTTCCGAGCCTCCTGAGCAGGCCCGCCCCCTCTCGCTCCCCCCGACCCCCCCCCGGGCGCGCCGCCGGCCCTCGGGCCTGCGCAGTGCACCCCCCCCCACCGTCGTCCGCTGCCCGCCGAGCGCTGCAGGGCTTCGCAAGCAGGGGCTCGGCCGAACGGGGCCTGGGCTTCCCCACGGGCCCCCGTAATTGCCATGCCCCCGCCGACGGTGCCCGGGGCCCCCCTTTTCAAGACGGGGGCGTAGCCAGACGTGAGAATCGGCGTTCGCCGAGCGGAAAGGAAACGCTGATCTTGAAAACGAGAAAAAAAAAAAAAAAAAAAAAAAAAAAAAAAAAAAAAAAAAAAAAAAAAAAAAAAAAACGCCCCCAGGGTCTTCAAGAACATCGTACCCCGGCCCGTGCCCCTAGGCCCGTGCCCCTAGGCCCGTGCCCCCGGCTGCTCTGTGCCCCCGTCTCTGGCGCAGCTGGGCGCGGGCGTCGACGCCCGCTCCGGCCGACGGAGCGCGAGGGGGAGCGAACGGGGTCTGGCTCGGGTCCTGGCCCGCTGCTCGGCGGGCGGGGCAGAAGGCACTGACCAGGACATCCCTCCTTTCGGGTATAGGGAAAACTACGGAGTCGAGTTTCCCCCCAAAAAATTGACGTCCCGTCGAGTCTACGAAACATGCCCAACATGCCCGGCGATCAAAAGGGTGCTCCTCGACGATGGCCCTCGCCGAGGAGAAACTGCACACGTCCGAAAGACGCCAAGCCAGGCGTGCCATCGCTCGGACGTCCATTCCCCTTTCTCATGCTTCGGTGTCGTGCGTGCTGTTCTCTTTTTTGCTCGATGATCCAGGATGCGCCTCGACGCTGCCCCTCGCCGAGGCAGAGGTGCACACGTCCGAGCGACGCCAAGCCAGGCGTGCCTTCGCTCGGACGCCCATTCCCCTCTCTCATGCTTCGGCGCCGTGCGCGCTGCTCTCGCGCGCTCGATGCTCCAGGATGCGCCTCGACGCTGCCCCTCGCCGAGGCAAAGGTGCACAACGCCCGAGCGATGCCAGGCTTACGTCGGGCCTGTCCCCCTACAGGGGGATTTTCGACGAAAAGTGAAAAATGCCCCCAAAATGCTCCGAAAAGGTGAACAAATATTTAAAAAATAGTCCCCAGACTATTTTTGTACTATCTTTTGGCTATTGTTGGGGAATCTTGTATTTTTCGTCGAAAATCCCCCTGTCGGGGGACTGGCCCGACTTCATGCCAGGCCAGGCCGGGGGGGAGGGCGGATCTCCTCCAGCTCCGCGGCGCGCTGCTCTCGCGCGCTCGATGACCCAGGATGCGCCTCGACGCTGACCCTCGCAGGGGCGAAGGTGCACACGCCCGAGCGACGCCGGGCCAGGCGGGGGGGGAGGGCGGATAGATCCTCCAGCTCCGCGGCGCGCTCGGCCTCCTGCCGCCCGAGCTCCTCGCGCCGGCGCCGCTCCTCCTCGGGGGGGAGCTCCTGCGGGCGGGGGCCCCGGGGGAGCAGCCGCCGGCGGCTCGCCCTCGCCGTCGCCACCGGCACCGCCATCTCGATCGCGAGCGTGATCACCCTCGTCACCACAGTCGTCACCACCCTTCGGCGGCGAGCGAGGGGGGGCAGGGAGGAGGAGAGGGCCTTCTCGGAAGGCGGCGGGGCTTCTCAGAAGACCTCTGGCCTTCTGAGGAGGTTGCCGTGTCTTCGGGGAAAGCTTAGGAAACTTCGCCGCACAAGACTGGGGGACTTCCGAGCTTTCTGAGAAGGCCCGCCCCTTCTCACTTCCCCCCTGGGCTCGCCGCCGAACCATCGTCATCGCCATGGCCATGGCCATCACTGATCACCGCCATCGTCGTCACCATCCGCATGGCCGTCCCCATCCTCATCGTCGTCACCATCGCCGTCGGCAGCATCCACAACACCAGCGCCGTCGTGAGCGACGCGGCTGGCATCGAGCACGGGCCTGCGTGAGCCTGAGGAACAACCATCGACAGCGTTCGAACGAGACCTGTGCAGATAAGCTGGGATGTGGACACCTCCCAGGAACCGCAGAGCTCCTGGCGGCCTGCGGGGGCTGGGGGATGGTACGCACGCGGGGGGAGGCCAACAGGCTCGGGGATCTTCTGACCCGGGGCAATCCAGACCCGGGTCAGCAGGAAACCAGAACACTGCAATGCAGGAGCACAAAATGCAACGCGGGTCTTCGCAAACCCGGGTCCGCCAGTCTGCGCGGCCGCCCCGCGGCCACCGAGCGGCTCGCTGACCCGGGGTCAGCCAGAGGGGGGGTCGTCGCAGGACCCTGGAGGACCCGGTGCCCTGGCTGACCCCCGCTTGCATCGACCCCCGTCTCGAGGCTCCCGACGGGCGGGGGGGGGACTCGCTCCAGGAGGGGAGCGCTGGCCTGACAGGGGAACCCCCACGTTCCAAGGCCAGGGGGGGCGCCCCGGCCACGGTCGGCACGGGCGACGGCCCGTCCCCTCTGCCGGCGCCCCCGCGTGCACACTGCGAGCCCGCTCCCGTCCGCCGTGCCCGGGCGCCACCGGCCGGCGCTTCCGCCCTGCTGTCCAGAGCTCGTCCCAGAAGACGCGCTGCTGGCCTCAGGTCGGGCATGTCCTGCCACATGGGGGATTTCGGACGAAAACTAGGAAATAGTCAAAACAGATTCAAGAATGGCCCCCGAAAAACACATGGAAGCATCGACCCCTGGCTTTGTTTCTTCTTCTTTTGAAAATGTTAACATTCCTCCTGTAGAGGGACAGGCCCGACTTAAAGCTCGCCCCAAAAGAAGCACTGCATGCCAACTGCTGATTCACTCCGCAAAGCATGGAGGGGAAACGGCGCGGCGGCGATCCCCCCCTCCGCCTACGGAGAGACCTCACAAATTGGATTCGAGCAGATGATGTCGGAGGATGGCGCCGCATCGCTGGTACATCGCCAGCGCATCGGGGATGCACCGGCGACGTGGGCGATGCATCAGCGACGTCGGCGTGGAGAAAATCGGGCTCCACATGGAACCGCATCGCCGATGCATCGGCGATACGGCGCGATTCTCCGACCATCTACTCCGACCCCAGAAGGCCTCGAATGGAGGGGAGGTGGTGCGGCAACGAGCACCCCTCCTCCTCCCCGCCATCTGCCTCGTCTTCGCCGCCTCCGCCGTCGACCTCTAGGTGCCGAACCCTGCCCCCCCCACCATCGATGATTCTCCTGAATCGATGGTCGGGAGCGGCCAAGAGGGGGGTGTCCAAGAGGGGGGGTGCAAATCATGACCGGCGGCATGTGCGCGGCCCAGCGGGGGGGCCAGGGACGTAATGACATAAGAAGAGGCGCCATGAAATCTGGGGAGATATCATGGCCCACGCCATGATATCCACCCCCCCCCTCAGCACCCCCCTCTTTTCCGCCCCCGACATGGGAGGCGGGCGTAGCGCTCGGAACCGCCCACCGAGTCGCCCGCATCGTGGATCGGCGAGGGCAGGGCTCGCATCTCGCCGCCGCCTCCGCCGTCGACCTCTAGCTGCCGACCCCTGCCCCCCCACCGTCGATGATTCTCCCGAATCCATGGGAGGCGGGGGCAGCGTCCGGCACCGCCCACTGCGTCGCCTGCACCGTGGAGGAGGAGGAGGAGGAGGAGGAGGAGGAGGAGGAGGAGGAGGCGGAGGAGGAGGAGGAGGAGGAGGAGGAGGAGGAGGAGGAGGAGGAGGAGGAGGCACCGCCCACTGCGTCGCCTGCCTCGTGCATCGGCGAGGGCAGGGCGCGCACCTCGCCGCCGCCGCCGCCGCCGGCCCTCTGCCCGGGAACCCCCTCGGAGGCGCGCGCCCTCGGGGGGCGCCGGCTGCACTCGTCGTCGTCGTCGTCGTCGTCGTCGTCGTCGTCGTCGTCGTCGTCGTCGTCGTCGTCGTCGTCGTCGTCGTCGTCCCCAGAGATCCGACGTCGTGATTCTTTCAAATCAAGGGTCCTCGGACGTCTCGACCCGCTTCCCGAGGACCGGCTCGTCATCTCGCGTCGCTTGTTGACGGCCCCGGGGCCCGGCGAGGGCCGCCAGAGTCCCCAAATTGCACCAACAACAAAACAATCCGTCTTGATGTTTTCAATACGTTGGATCTCTGGGTCGTCGCCGCCATCGTGGTCGTCGTCGTCGTCGTCGTCGCCGCCGCCGCCGCCGTCGACCGCCGGAGCCGCGCCCGCCCCCCGCGCGCGAGGCGGGGAGGCGCCGCGCCTCGACGGCGCCCCGCCGGGCGTCGCGGAGGCGCGCCTGACGGCGCGACCCGTCGCGAGGCACCGATTGGAAGCCGGCGGCATCGTTGTCGTCGTCGACGTCGTCGTCGTCGTCGTCGTCTGCGTCGTCCCCAGGCCCTCCTGGGTCATGAACAAATCACGACGGGGGGCTTCTCTCCATTCGGCATCCAGGGGCCCTCACTGGGCCTCGGGACCGTCAGAACACGACTCCGGATGAGAAGCGGGCCTTGGGAATGGGTCGAGACCTCCTCTGGGGGTCGACGCCATGAAAAAAAATCATGACGTGGGGGGTCTGGGTCGAGGGGGGGGGGGACGAGGAGGGGGGGAGGAGGAGGAGGAGGAGGAGGAGGAGGAGGAGGAGGAGGAGGAGAGGAGGCGGAGGAGGGGGACGAGGAGGGGGGGGGGGGGGGGGGGAGGAGCGAGCGAGGGAGCGAGAGCGAGGCGCTGAGCCCGGCACACATGCGGCGAGGCGCGCGTGCCCCGTGCCCGCTTTGGGAAGGGCGCGCCGAGGGCGCAGCCTCTCTCGGGGGCTGAAGAGAGCATGCTCGCGCGGGGTCCACCACGACGTTCGGGAGGCAGGAGGGGGAGAGGGCAGAGGAGGAGCGAGGGGAGGAGGCTTGGGAGGAGGGGGAACAAAAAAAGAGGAGCGAGGGGAGGATGCTGGGGAGGAGGAGGGAGAGGGGGGGGGGGCAGGGCTGTCTCTGTTGACCGCTGCAGCATCGTGCCCTCACGCTGCGCGAGTAGAAGATGGAAGGCAGACTTGATTTACCACAGAATTCGGACTCTCGCCGAAGCTACAAGGAACATGCAGAATGCAAGAGGGGGGGGCCAGAAGAGAGGGAACAAGGAGGAGGAGGAGGAGGAGGAGGAGCAGCAACAGCAGCAGCAGGGGGCGGAGGATCAGCAGGAGGCGGTTGAGCAGCAGCATGAGCAGGAGATCAACGAGAGGCAGGAGACAAGCAGCAGGAGAATGAGCAGCACATAGAACAAACAAGTATTAGTAAGTCAGCGTGAGGGTAAGAAACACACATGTGCTAGTTGGCCAATGTGAGAGCAAGTAACACACAAGTACGAGTGTGAGAGGCTGGCCAGAGTGAGAGTATACAGGTACGCCGGAAAAGAAAACTGATGAAACAAGGAGGGGGGAGGGGGTAGAGGAGAGGGAAAGAAGCATGGGCGATGAGGAGGAGCAGCAGCATCAGACGACGCACTAGGAGGATGAGGGAGTAGGCGAGCGAGTAAATGGGGAGCGAGAGAGACGTGAATGTGAGGGGTATGGAGGATGAACAGGGAAGCACAGCATCATGGAAGGCATCAGGAGGGCACGAGGAGGAAGTGGATATGAAGCTGGATGTGGAGGTGAGCGGGGGGATACTTTGAGGACGACAAGCAAGGACGTGGACATGGCTGAGTAGGAGGGAGATGTGGAGGTGGTGAGGGGGCGGAGAGGGAGGAGCAGAGAGAGCAAGAGAAGAACGTCGACGGCAAAGGAACAGGTAGAGGAGATGCAAGCGGAGGAGGAGGAATACCAGCAGCAGGAGGACCAACAGCTCAGAGCCTCCCAACGCCTCCCAAACCACACAAGACCTCCCATGACGCCATTCCCGCCCCCAGAACCTCCCAATGATGATGGTTATGATGATGATGATGATGATGATGATGATGATGATGATGATGATGATGATGATGATGATACTGATGATGACGATGGCGATGGCGATGACGATGATGATGATGCTGATGATGATGGTGATGGTCATGGTGATGACAATGATGATGGTCAGCATCATCATCATTATCAGCATCATCATGATCATCATCATCATCATCACCATCATCATCATCATCATCATCATCATCATCATCATCATGATCATCAGCATCAGCATCGTCGTCTTCATCATCATCATCATCATTGTCAGCATCATAGTCATTATCATCATCACCACCACCACCATCATCATCATCAGCATCAGCATCGTCATCATCATCATGATCATGATCATGATCATGATCATCATCATCATCAGCATCAGCATCAGCATCAGCATCAGCATCATCAGCATCAGCATCAGCATCAGCATCAGCATCCGCATCAGCATCAGCATCAGCATCATCATCAGCATCATCATCATTGCCAGCATCGTAGTCATTATCATCACCACCACCACCATCACCATCATCATCATCATCATCATCATCATCATCATCATCATCATCATCATCACCGAGCTCCCCAGAGCCTCACAAGCCTACCCAGAGCCTCCCAGAACATCCCCTGACCTGTCGGAGCCATCGTATGACTCCCCAGCGCCCTCCGGGGGCACCTCGGGGCTGTGCGGGAACGCAGACACCGAGGCGGACGTGACGATGACGAGGACGACGAGCGAAAACAACGACGACGCGGACGATGGCGGCGCCGACCCGAAGGTCGAGGGCTTCTGCAGGGCGCCAGCCCCAGATGCGAACACCCGAGCCTTGAGCATGAAGGAGAGGGGATGATCAACCAAAAGAGGGCCCCTAACCCTTTTGGGGGGACCTGAGCTAGGGGGGCCAACAACATGGGGGATAAAGGGGGTCTTTTCTGCAGACGTGTCGAACCAACCCGCCCAGAAGTATCATCCCGTATGAAAAGACGGGGGCCTAAGTGAGGCCACGTTTTCACTATGTTATTAGGGTTGGGGGCTCTTGCTACCGTGCAGTCAGCCAGCATAATACGGACGCGCGATAAGGGTTCAAGGGCCTTGGAAGGCCATGTTGGCACAATGCGGGCGGGGCGCGGCCAGCGAGAACGGCCAAGGATGGGTCGAAGGCGAAGGATGCAAAGGTAATCTTGAAAAGTCGCTCGTCCTTACAATGCGGGTTGACTGCAACACGGATTCCAGATCCATGGATCTGGCACGCGGTCGCGAGCGGAAAGACATCCCCCCCGACAGATGGAGCCAGTGCCCCTTTGTTTGTTGACGGCGCGCATCGATGCTTGCATGGAAGCTGGACCCATCGCTAACGCACGTGCCTTAATCGGGGGCGTCCAAGAGGGGGGCGTTCAAGAGTGGGGGGCGCAAATCATGGCCGGCGGCATGTGCGCGGCCCAGGGGGGGGCCCGGGACGTATTGAAATACGAAGAAGCGCCATGAGAGCCGGGGAGATCTCATGCCACCCCCTAGTCATCACCCCCTGGTGATTTCTTATTCGGCGTTTCGACATTGGGCGAAAGGGGGGGGGGTCTGGCTCTGGACCTCTGCTTGGTGCGACTGCTTGCAACCGTGCGTCCTATGTGGCAGACTCCACCTGCTCGAAACAGGCGCCAAAAACAGCCTAGATCCACTCCATGGGGCGGGGATGGGGAGGGGAGGTGCAAGGGCCCGAGCCGATCGACAGAACAATGAATAATGGAACGATCACATGTCATGCCCCCCCCCCCCCAGTCATCACACCCCTCTGTGCCGCCACCGACGCAATCCATGCCGGCGCTCCATCGAAGGAGTCCGGATTGCGGCGGCACCCGGGGAGCATCGCGGGTCTGAGCACGCTGCGGCACGGGAGGTCCCCACCGAGGTTGCGGGGGGCCTGCGCGTAGGCGGGCAGCCGCCCCAGCGCGGCCAGCTTCGCGGCCTGGCGAAAGGGTAGCCTCCGCCTCCTCCTCCTTATCCTCCTCGTCCTCCTCATCATTTTCTTCAGCAGCAGCTCGTCAAAATAATCACTACCACCACCACCACCATCAGCATCACACTCATAATCGACATCATCATAATAATCACCCTCATCCTCATCATCATCATCACCACAACCATCATCATCACTATCACCATCACCATCATCACCATCATCATCATCATCATCATCATCATCATCATTATCACCATCACCATCGCCATCGCCATCGTCATCACCATCATCGCCACCTCCATCACCACCACCACCATAATCCCACCAGCCCTCTGGGCGTCGGTGGTTTAGGGCGTTTCCTCTTCCACCCCTCCCTCTTCCCTTTCGGGGAGGGGTTTACCCTTCCCCCTACCCCCGCCCCGTGGACCTGGACGGGAGGGGCGGGGAGGTGTCAGGGCGTCCAAAACGGCTTCGGCAAGGAAGCCGAAATCACTGATTTTACTGGGGTGTTCGCCCCATGTTGGCCTCCTGAAGGGGCAACCCTAATTGAAGCTCCCCTCTTCTTTGATCGATGTCCTCCAAGATGGCCCCAAAAAGTGCCCAGGAAACCCAAAGAGTCCCCAATATGGCCCCAGGAGGCCCCAAGAGGCCATCAGGAGGCCCCCAAGAGGAGCCCAAGCGGCCCAAAGAGGCTCCCCCGAGGCACCCAAGACGCCGAAAAGCCCCTCAGGACGACCCTCTACTCGCTTGGGCGTCGTTTCTGGATTGCCTGGTGGGGATATTTGTTTTTCAGTCCTTTCCGCTAGCGAAGGCGCTAGCGGAGTCAGAAGCGCTACGGGTCACAAGAGCGGCCGAATTAGCAGCGAAACGCGCCGCGAGCCGGCCGGCCGACTCACCCAGCAGCGGCTGACTGCGCGGGAGGAGCGGCAAGCTGGGGGCGCCCAGGGTGCTCGAGCACTTGCAACACGGCAAAATGCTGGTGAATTCAAGATGTGCCGAGTGGCAAAACCCAAACGGAGCGTGAGGACGATTGCTGTGGGCTGCTGGTGGGGGTACTTTTTCGGTCGCGGCCGCGCGACAACGGTCTGGCGGCGAGAGGCAAAGTCCGGGGCATGCGGCACGATGCGAATTTGCGAACACCGCCGCCACGTTGGCAAGCCGGTTCGCACCTGCACAACAAGTGCGCCATTGCACATGCACAGAACAAAATGAACTAAATTCACCAGCAAACGCACATAGGCGCCGCAGTGTGAACCGAAGTGGACAGGCGGCAGAGTGTGCGAATGCAGCGGAGTGAGTCGCCGGTACGGCGCCAAACTCCAGGCCACCGGCCCAGCTGGTTGGGAAACTTGGACCAAGGAAGCCGGGCAGAGGGCGGTGGAAAGCACGAGGCAACGCGAGCGCGGAAGGCCGAACCACTCAGCGCTCAGTCCTCAGAATCCTCCGCCCAGCCGGGGGGGGCCAGCGGCACCAAAACGCATCGAGTCCGGCGCCTGCGGCGGATAGGCCCAAGGGTGGACGAGACGATGCGCGGGGGAAACCACAGGCTGTACAAAGGCTGCAGCACTCAGAGAAAGGCCCTCCGGAGCACAACTCCCAGTGCCGGTGGAAGCCAGCGACTGCCCAAGCGCGAAAAACTGGTGGGGATACGCGTGGCTTATAGATTTTTCATCATAACCATCAACATCACCATCACCATCAACATCCCCATGACCATCACCATCACAATCGTCATCGTCGTCACCACTACGAATCACTTACAAACCATCAACGCTCAATCGTCAATCAGCAGTTATGAAACATCAGAACTCATTATGATAAACATAATTATGAATATGATCGTTCTTATTATCATGATCATCATCCGTATCACCATCACCACCCCCCTCGCCATCATCAACACCAGCATCAGCATCAGCATCAGCATCAGCATCAGCATCAGCATCATCATCGTCAGCAGCAGCATCATTTCCACCAGCACCACCACAACCACCATTATCATCAGCATCAACATCAGCATCGTGACCATCATCACCATCATCAGCAGCATATTCAGCATCATCATTCGCATCAGCATCAGCATCACACGCAGTATCGTCGTCATAACTATCATCAACAACATCATCTGCATCATCTTCTTCTTCATCATCATCGCCATCACCATCGCCCTGATCATCCTCATCCTGATCCTCATCCTCATCGCCATCACCATCACCACCACCATCACCACCACCACCACCATCATCATCATCATCAACATCATCATCACCATCATCATCAACATCATCATACGCATCATCATCACCGTCACCATCACCATCACCATCACCATCATCATCATCATCATCATCATCATAATCATCAACATCATCATCATCATCATCATCATCATCATCACCATAATCAACATAATCTTCATTACCAACATCATCAGCAGCAGCCTCATCATCACCATCCGCATCATCTTTCTCATCATCAGCATCATCATTATCATAATCCTCATCGTCATCATCGTCGTCATCCTCATCATCATCGCCAGGACGAGGAGAGTAAGGCCTTGTGGGTCGCAGAAGCGGCAGGGCCATTTTTCACCGTTTCCGAAACAATGTCTCTTGAAAATGGAAACGGCAAAAAAACGGCGACCAAAAACGACAAAAAAACGGCTCCGGGATTGGAGCCAGAGTAAGAACTGGGAAAACAACAACGACGGAATCGGCAGAAAAACGGCGTCAGAACCGGCAAACAAATGACAAAACGGACCCTGTAAAGAAACCAGCCCTGTCGCTTCCAGGGCACACATCAGCATCGCCAGGACGACGAGGGGCAGGGGGACGGGAATACGCCAGCTGGAGGAACAGGAGAAAAGTGAAATGATGAGGGAAGCGCCAGAAAAGAGCTGGGATTTTTCCGCTCCGCCTACCTCATACTCTTCCTGCTCCTCGTGCTCGTATTCCTCCTCCTCCTCCTCCCGTCTCGCCCATGCTAGCTCCTCCCTCCTGACAACACCTCCTGGTCCTCTAACTCCTCGTCCTGGTCCTCTTACATCGCTCCCCTTGCATCTTCTCATCCTGATCAGGGCCTCAGGAAGCTGGTTTCGGACCCTGGGGCCAACCACAAATACCCAAGACCAAACCAAACAGACCCGGTAAACAGACCCAGAGAAAGGGGATACGTATATTGAAGTATCCAGATCGGCATGGGGTACATGCAAACAGAGGACAACTTAGAAAATATATTTCGACGAACAGCGGGCTTGTGGGGGGAAACTTAGCGAGGATGGAATGTTTACGAATTGAATGGCGGGACTAAATGTGGGTCAGCGTTCACCGTTCCTTCTTGCGCCTGGCACACGAGCCTTCCCACATTTCTCACAAGCTGATCCCAATATCGTTGCAGATGATGTTGTCTCGTACCTTCCCGCATTTTTCGCACGAACTGTTCCCAGAGCTGTGTAGTTCAGGATGACTGGTGGCACCTCCTCGCGATTGTCGCACGACCTGTTCCGAGCATTGTTGAAGGGGCCCTGAGACACACAAATAAATACACACACAGAGATTTCAGGATTCCCCATATTTCCCAATCTTTCCTGGGTTCTTGTCTTCCCCCCCACTGCCCATATTTTCCCATGTGTTCCTGGGAGTCGACGATTAGTTGTGTCTGTGTGATTTTGTCCCCTTCTGACTTGTGGCTGATGTTGGCTCGTACCTCCCTGCAGTTGGCGAGTGAGGATGTCGGCTCGCCCCTTCGCGCGCGTCCTCCCGCCGTCGCCAAAAGGGCCTCCCGCGCTGGTGCTTCTGCTTCAGCCTGGAAGCTTCGGCACCTCTCGTACGATATGACTCCCGGCACTGCAGCTGACGCTCGGCTCGCGCTCTATCGCATGAGCTACTCCCGGCGTCGGTGCTGATGACGTCGGCCCGCACGCTCCCGGAGGGGGAGGAGGAAGAATGAGGAAAGGAGGAGGAGGAGGAGGAGTGAAGATGAGGGAGGAGGATGGCGAGGAGGGAGGAAGGGGCAAAAGGAGGAGGGAGAAAAGAGACAACCTTTTGGACTGAGACGCTGAGTAGGCTGGGAGCCTGTGAGCAGAGGCCGGCATGCATCTCGCAGATCATGTCGGCGGCGAGCGAGTGGGGGAAGTGACAAGCAGAAAGCCTTCTCAGAAGGCGGCCGCACTTCTGAGAAACCCTCGCGCCTTCTGAGACCTTTTTCGCATCTTCGAGGAAGGCTCAGAAAACTTCTCAGAGGCCTGGGGGACTTCCGAGCCTTCTGAGAAGGCCCGCCCCTTCTCGTTTCCCCCCCTCGCTCGCCGCCGATCATGGTGAGGCTGAACATGTCAGCCCGGACGCCAAGTAGGCAAGCACGGCAAAGGAGCCTCAGCGACGAAGCCGACGGGACGCATCGCCCCGAAGCCGACGGGGCCAGAGACGGAAGGAATCTAACTCTGGGAAGGGGCCCTGGGACACACAATGAAACAGAAGAAAATCCCAGGATTCCCCATATTTTCAAATCTTTTCGGGGTGTCTTCCCCACACCCCTAATTACCTGTATTGTTCTGGGGGTCGACGATTCATTGTGTCTGTGTGTTCTTTCCCATCCTAACAGATACCCTCACCCTCACTGCCCGCATCGGCTCAAGGAATCGACAGATGGCTCCAGACAGACAGATCGGCAGGCGAGCTCACACAAGAACGACCGCCGTGGCCTCGGCACAAGGCCGATCGGGAGGGGGACGGACGGAGGGAAGGAGGAAGTGAGTGCGCCGCCGCGTAGTGTTGTCGCGGCCGTGCCCCGGCTGCACGCCCGTCACCTGGGCGCCGCGGGGTATCAGCAAGCGTTTTCTACGCTCCGCGGCGGCAGCCGATTGCGCCGGGCCTGGCGCGTGGCCCCAGCGGGCCGCCGGTGTTGCCGACCTCCGCACTTCGACACGAAGCTCCTCTGGCTGCCCCGCTGCGGCTTCCGGGTGCGCCGAACGCCGTGCCTGAGGCAGGGCCCTTGGAGGCTCCCTTGCCTGAGGCTGGGCGAAGCCGTGGCTGGTCCCCATCTGCTACCGGCGCGCCCGTACCCAGAGGCCATCGGCCTGCTGCCGACGCCGCGTCCGGAGGAAGCGTTGCCGCCGACACGCCTCAGGCAGATGTCACTCGGGTTCCTCGCGCGGCTGATGGGCCCCAGGCCGGATGCCATCGGTCTGCTGCCGACGCCGTGTCAGGAGGAGACGCTGCTGCCGCCGAGCCTCGTCCAGGCATTGCTCGGGTTCCGCCGCCTGCTGCTGACGCCGCGCCCATGCTCGAGATCATCAGCCTGCGGGCGGCCTGGGGTCGCCATCAGCCCGCGCAGGTCAAGCGCTTGATACAGGCCAGCCGTTCGGTGGCACACGTCCCTTCGCAGGATGCTGATGCCGCGTCCGCAGGCAATCGGCCGTCTGCCGCTCGTGTGCCTCGACGCGGCGTTTCAGGCACCACTCCTGATCCTCCAGCTGATCATTCTTTTTCGGATCGCGTGGGCCTGCAGTGGATGATGCCATATTCCGCATGCGCGTGCACAGGTGGGTGCAGCCAGGACCTTTGCCTGAGCCCCCCCCCCCTGCGATCACGACGTCGCCAGTTGATGTTGACGAGATTCTTGCCCGGCGCATCGTCGCGCGAAAACACTCGGAGGCGACGTTGTCTCGCCCAGGCTGCCGAATTCCTACTACGACGTAGGACAGGGGATAGTTGTACTCTGCGCGCGCCCCCTCTCAGTCTCGATGGGACGACCCGTTTCGCTCCTGCTTCCCTCCGCCCTCAGGCGTCACGTCGTGACTGCTTGCTGGGAAGGAGCATGGAGGATGGAGCAGACCGTTTGCCGTCGCCGAGCTTTCGGTTGCCACGCAGGACTCAGCAGCATGTTTTCTTTTGTATTGCGTTTTCCATGTGTTTGCTTCCGAAGGGACGGAAAACGTGGAGGTGTTAGGTCTGTGTCCCGACCTCTTCCCTCCCTCTCGTGGGCCTGCTGCGGCTGCGAGACGACTCCACTAATGGAGCCGGCAAAGGTGGCGGCCCGCTCTGGTACCCAATGCAGCTCGCTGATGCCATGCTCCAGCGGTGGCGGCAGCTCGCGGCGCGGCTGCTCCAATGGCGCGATCTCTGTCAGAAGCTCTGCCGTAACAAGGGGTCGATGAGGATGGCGATCGAGAAGCCGTGGAACGGTTGCGGCAGCCAAGGTCACGACATCGACCATGCACGGCGGCCTGCGAACGCGAGAAGCACAGCCGAGACGCGCAGTCACAGCGCAGGGACTGCGACGAATGCGGCTGCGGCTGGGCCTCGTCGAACTGTGAAGGATATCGGCGCAATCGACAGGATGATCACGTGGCGCGTCGCGGTCGCCAGCTCCTGCACCAGCGGCGGCGGCACGCACGGCAGCTGTCCTGGCAGAAGAGGGTCCAGCGCAGCAGCCTGATTGCTGGAAGGGATCCTGACCCTGGACGTTGGCTGAGGAAGCAGAGGGAGAGAGGAGGGAGAGGGTGAGAAAGGAGAAGGGAGGACGGGGAGGATGAGGGAGGAGAAGGAACAAGGCAGGGCATGAAGAGCAATCCCCAAACGAGCCCATTTGACTGGAGCCCTCTCAAATGTGGCCGACAAAAATGGTGTCGGAAAATTGCGTTGCATCACCGATACATCGCCGATACATCGGCGACGTTCGAATGGAAAAAAACAGGCTATGCGCCACATCGCCGATGCATTGGCGATTCGGGAGTTGCAAAAGGTGCTCCCAGCTTTTCGCACCAGTTTGAAGCCCCGGGAGCCCTCTGGGCCTCGCGAGAGGTGCTCTGGAGGCAGTGTGGGCCTCCTTGGAGCTTCTGGGGGCACCTCAGGGGCACTTCTAGCACCCAGAGATCCGATATCGTGATGTTTCCAATGCGGGGCCCCCAGAAGTCTCGACCCATTCCCCAGGACCAGATTTTCGTCCTGAATCGTTGTCTGACGGTCCCGAGGCCCGGCGAGGGCCTCCAGAGGCCGAAAACGGCGAAAGACTCCGTCTTGATGTTTTCAATGCGCTGGATCTCTGGGTAACACCCGAGCGATGCGGCGCGATCCCCTGCCCCCGCTCAGTCCGGCCCCGTTTGGGAGGCCCGGCATGGCCGGGCCAGGGCCAAACACCCTGCACAGGGAGCGCGGTGGCGGGGTCGGCCAGGGGCGCCTCGACCGGGTCCAGCTCGGCGCCAGCCTCCCGCCCAGCGGCGCCCGCCACCCTCGTTCGCCACCCTCCTCCTCCTTCTTCTCCTCCTCCTCCTCCTCCTCCTCCTCCTCCCTCCCTCCCTCCCTCCCTCCCTCCCTCCCTCCCTCCTCCCTCCTCCACCCTCCTGGGTTTTAGCTAAGCGGCCAGCTTGCTGATCTTCTGGGGAGCCCCAGGGCGCCCAAATCGCAAAGAACACACCCGTCCAGATCGATTATCTTGACGCTGGGAACATGTTTTGAAGAATGCTCCAGACAGGATCGACCAAGGCAAGAGGAGGAGGAGGAGGAGGAGGAGGAGGAAGAACGCTACAGGCTTGCACCTAGCGTCCGCGCAACGTGGAGAAACATGATGAGGGGTCTGGAGAGGAGGAAAAGCAGGAGGGAGAGAGAACAACAGCAAGAGGAGAAGGACGACGAGAACGAATAATCTCGACATGATGGGGAGATATTAGATGGGAACATTAACATAGGGAAAACACATGCAATATGATGCTGATGCTGATGCTGATGCTGATGCTGATGCTGATGCTGATGATGATGATGATGATGATGATGATGATGATGATGATGATGCTGATAAGAAGAAGAGCAAGAGCAAGACGAATAGAAGGAGGAGTAAGCGCAGGTGGATGGCTCGTCCGTCCGCCTGTCCCTTCCCTTCCTCGTCCCTCCTACCTCCCCCCTCCTCCCTTTCCCTTCCTCCTCCCCCGACCAGGGCAGGTGGGGCGTAATCTGGACTCCTCTGCCCACACAACACAAAGCGACGAACCCACAAACTGACTCCGACGCTCCTTTCCCTCCACCCCTCCCCCCTTGCCAGACCTCTCCTGGGGTGCGTTCAAATTCTGGTCAAGATTTCGAGGCGGATCCAGCCGTGGCCATAACAGCACCCCAGGACGTTGAGAACAAAGCTCCAAAGACCCCCAAACCTCGAGCCTCGAGATCATGTTCTCCTCCTCGACCACGGTGACCTCCCTTTCAAAACTGCCTCCCAGAACATACCCCTGGGTGCGTTTGACCAGAACTCCGAGGGGAACCCGGACATCCACGAGAAGCCACCCCCGCGCCCAAGAACGCCCAAAAACCTCGATCCTCGAGCCCTCGAAAACTACGACGACGACGACGACGACGACGACGACGACGACGACGACGACGACGGCGGCGGCGGCGGCGGCGGCGGCGGCGGCGACGACGACGACGACGACGACGACGAGGCAGCGGCCTCCTCCTCTCCGGCGCCAGGGAGGCCAGGCGCGGCCACGGCCAGCATGGACGCGGGGGCCTCCTGGCACCGCCAGGGCCAGGGTCGCCGCCGCCGTCGCCGTCGCCGCCGCCCTCGCCGGAGGCGGAAAGCACTGGGCAGGCTCGGGTGGTGGATGCCATGACAGTGGGCACCCTGACAATCCGATCATTGGTTTAGAGATGGGCTCAAATGTAGGGAAAATGTTTTCAACATGTTTCGCACCTGCTTGCTTAACATGTTCACGTCAATTTGGAAATTATCTGGCACTTGCAAAATGATCCGGAAATGTTAAAACATGTTTCTGACATCTGGAAATTACTTACTTGGCAACATTGTTCCTCTCCATCGATTGTGGTCCACATCGCTCGGGCCTCCCTAGGGCTCCTGGGGGGGTCTTCGTGTCGCCACGGCCAGGTCCCCCCCGGAATCCTGGGAAGAGCGCCCCGAAGGAGAGGACCGGGTGACCGGGTGCCGACTTGTGAGGGGAGGTCCTCGTCGCCGCCGCCGAGAGCAAGATCGAGGTTCGACGATCGAGGTTCCAAGATTCGGGATGTCTGGGGCTCTTGTTTCGATGTGCTGGGGCGCCCTCTTGGCAACGGCTGGGTCCGCCTCAAAGCTCTGGCCAGAGCGCATCCCCGGCGAGGTCTGGGGAGGGGGGGGGAGGCTGGAAGGAGCGGCGGAAGGAGAGATGTGGGAGAAGGAGCACGAGGAGGGCGAGGTGGAGGGGGACCTGGGGGAGGAAGAGGAGGGGCAGGCAAGGACGAGGCATACGCATCGGCACCCACAGAACACAAATTACTGCTACGTTCTTTTCGTAGCCACGGGATCTTGGCGCTGGGGCCGGCTCACGAGGCTCCGAGTGGAAGACGGCAAGGGGGGGCGGGAGGGAACGGGAACACTGTCGCCCAGGCGGCCCCCACGTCGATGGCTGGGGCGCGGGGCGCCTTCGAGGCTGCCCGCGACAGTCGGCTCCACGCAAGCGAGACCCCAGGCAGGAGGGACCCTCGGCGCGGCGCTTAGGGCGGGACGCGGGGCGGGCAAACCTCGGCGCAGAAAGCCGCGGGTACCGCTTCGCGCTCGGCGAGCGGGGGACCCCATGGGGCCCGCATCCCCGGTCCCTCTGGCGAAAGGCCACTCTTCCGTCTCGTCTGGAAGGAACAGCGGCACAAACGTAGACTTTCGATGCTCTGCGCGGGCCTCTCGGACCCGCGCCGGGACACCCCTTCAGCCCGACGAGCGGAGTGCACCAGGGGGGGCGCCGGAGGCGCCGACGGGGAGGGCCCAGCGCGGATCCCAGAAACCCGCGCGGAGCGCCCAAAGTGTATGTTTATGACGTTTATGAGTCGTAGTTATTATTATATTACCATTCGTACTCATTATTATTTGTCTTGTTAGTCTTATTACTCCTCTTCTGGTTATTAGTCTTAGCATTTGGAATATTAGCATTGCTCTTCTCATTATGAATAGTATTAGTACTACTGGTATTATTAGTATGCTTCTTCTTACTCGTAATATTACTATCATTAAGATTATTATCATTTGTCTCGTTCTTCGATGGTCGAGGCAGAGCCCCTCCGCCCGCTGGCGGTCGGGCCCCGCGGCCGGTCCCCCGGGGGCAGAGGAGCAGAGGAGGGCGGCCAGAGGAGAGCAGCGCCGAGGAGCAGGAGCGGAAGGCGGCAGGCGGAGGAGGAGGCGGCGGCGGCGGGAGCAGGAGCGGGAGAGCGGCGGAGGCGGCGGCGGAGAGGCCAGGCAGCGGAGGAGGCGGAGGGCGGAGGAAGGGGGGGGGAGGGAGGAGGGGCAGAAGGCACGAGGGGGGGGGCGGGAGAGCGGGCGGGCGGGAGGCAGGAAGGAGGAAGAGGGCGGGGTGCAGGACGAGCACCAGCAGCAGCAGCAGCAGCAGCAGCAGCAGCAGCGAGGAGCAAAGGGAACACGGGAACCGGAAGCAGCAGGAAGCGTCTGTATGAGGAGATACGCTCGAGGCGGCACGGAGACTGCAGGAGGACAAAGGTGGGGAAAGTAGGACGAGACGAGGGAGGATGAGGAGCAGAGCAGGGAGAGTGAGAAGGGAGAGGACAAAGAAGAGGAGAAGGATGTGGACTAACACGTCAGAGGGAAGAAGGAGGAAGGGACGAGGGAACTGCGAGGACGCAGGGAAGGACAGAGCAGGCAGGGAAGGCAGCGAAGAAGGCAGGGAGGCAGGAGCGAGGGACAGCAGGAGAGGCCATGGTGCGCCAGGCGAGCACCGCTCGACGTCGACGTCAACGGCGGCGCGCGGCGGCGCCCGACGGCGTCCAGAGGGGAACGTCCGTCGACGTCGACGTCAACCGCGACTGCCCGCTGCCGCCGCCCGGCGGCATCCTTGGCCCCAGCGCCGACGTCCCGGCGCCTCGCGTTCTTGAAGAAGCCCATGGCCCCAGGCACGGGCGCATCGCCCTCGCCGCGGGCCGCGCGACGCACGCAGGGGCCCTTGGCGCCTCCCCGTCCTCCATGCTCCCCCATCCTCACCCCGTCTACCTTCCTCCTCCTTCTGCCTCGCTCGTTCTCCTCTTTCTGCCTCACTCCTCCCGTGTTCCCTTCCTCCCCCCCCTCCCCCCTCCTCCACCTCCACATCCTCCTCCTCCCCCTCCTCCTCGTCCTCCACCTCCTCCACCTCCACATCCACCTCCCTCCACCTCCTCCTCCCCCTTCTCCTCCTCCTCCTCCTCCTCCTCCTCCTCCTCCTCATCATCATCATCATCATCATCATCCTCCTGTTCCTGCTCCTCCTCCTCCACCTCCTCCTCTCCCCCTTCCCAGATCCCAGAATGGGGTTCTCGTGATCCGTGCGACGCCCCCGCCTGCCACCTGGTGCTCATGAATCCTCCCCCCTCCTTCGTTCCCCCACTCTCACCTCGACACACTCATACCCAGAACTGCGCATGCTGAGTTAGCCTCGCTCAGACTCACTCACAGTCGTTGTCAGACTCACCCGTACTCAGACTCACTCACGCTCGGATTCACTCACACTCAGACTCGCTCTCGCCCAGACTCCCTCATTATCATGCTCCTCTCATCCGACTCGTCTCCTTCCACAGCCCCATGGTCACCGCAATGCAGCAGGAATCCCAACACCCCTTTGGGCTAAGGTAGTCTGACAAGTTGTCTCTGTGCTCGCCCAACAACCTCTTCCCTTCGAGGAGAGGTACTCTACACCTCCCCTACCTGAGGTTTTTTGGTGCGGGCCCCGACGTGTCAGGGGGTCCTGTTTCGCCCAAGATGGCTCTCAGAGGGCCCCCGATGCTCCAAGATCGCCTTCAAGATGTCCCAAGATATCCGACGATGGTTCAAGATAGTATCCGACGTATCTCTAGGAGGCCCGACGAGGGCCACAAGACAGTTCCAAGTGCTCTCGGAATCCCCTCAGGACCCCGCGAAGAAGCCAAAACCCTTCGAACACCCAATGCAAATCGATGAGCCTTGGCTCCTCGCCTTGTCGCTTCCGATTCGCGGTTGAGGCCTCAAGATGGCCCCAAGGTGGCCCGAGAGAGACCCAAGACGGGCCCCAGAGGCCCCCCAGACGGCCCCAAGAGCGCCCAAGAGTGGTCGAAGAGCGGACCAACAGCGCCCCAAGAGGCGACTTCGATGGTCTAAGGAGGGCACGGCAAATCGATGAGCCACCCCCCTTTGATCGTTGGCCTCCAAGATGGCACCAGGAGGCCCTCCAGGGCTCCCAAGTGACCCTCAAGAGGGCTCCAGGGGGACCCCAAGAGAGCCCCCAAACCCCCAAAAGAGCCCCACGAGGACCCCAAGCTGCCCCAAAAGAGTCCCCGAGGGCTCCAAGAGGCGATTTTGAGGGCTCTGTCCTCGTTCTCGTTATCCACCTCCTCCTTCTACCCCTCCTCCTCCTCCTCCTCCTCCTCCTCCTCCTCCTCGTCCCCGTTCTTGCCCTCATCGCCTTCACTTTTCTTTTTCCTCAAAGTCCTCGTCGTCGTGGTCGCCGTCGTCGTCGTCGTCGTCGTTGTCCTCCTCCTCCTCCTCCTCCTCCTCCTCCTCCTCTCCTCTTCTTCTTCTTCTTCTTCGTCTTTTTTCTTATTCTTCTTCTTCTTCGTCTTCTTCTTCTTCTTCTTCGTCTTCTTCTTCTTATTCTTCTTCTTCTTCTTCTTCTTCGTTTTCTTCTTCTTCTTCTTCTTCTTCTTATTCGTCTTCTTCTTCTTCTTCTTCCTCTTCTTCTCCTCCTCCTCCTCCTCCTCCTCCTCCTCCTCCTCCTCCTCCTCCTCCTCCTCCTCCTCCTCCTCCTCCTCCTCCTCCTCCTCCTCCCCTCGCCCCCCCACGGGCCCCAGGGATTTCCCGACAAGGCCCTCCAAGACCAGCCCATTGCTTTCAGAGATTTGCCTGTTCACCCTGGCTGCCCGCGGTGTTTCACTACATGTGTTTCGTCGCCCTTTTCCCGTCAACTCTCATGGACAGGGCTTGTGAATGCGCCGGTGGGGACACGCAAAGCGTGAAAAATAAGACTCGGGCACCAAGCGAGGTACTCTAGATTTTCAGTTCGTGCCAAGATTGTGCAGATGTCTCGAGCGGTTCGCTCGATCGGCGTCCCCGAACCCTCTCTGCTGTAAGCCTCATGACAATACCAATACAGCAGGGACCACACTCGAGCGCCCAAAAGAAGAGCCGCCAGCGGGTACATCATGTCCCCGTTCGCGCCCAGATGCGGCCAAGCCCAGCGCCGAGCCCAGGGCGAAGACCGGCGCTGGCAGTGGCGGCGAGGCGTTGACAACGTGACTAGCTGTAGCTCCTTCCAGTCCAGGGTCTACGCAGTGCATGTATCCCTCTACGTCGTGCGGGGGGTGAAGGTTCAGTGGCTCCCGATCAGCCTCTGCGCGATCTACGAGGAGTCGATCCTTCTCGCGACACACGTCGCGTTGGGGACACTGCCAGCCAGCAGCGGGTGTTCGTCGAAGTTGAGTCTCGCTGACATGACTTGGACGGGCCCTCAACTGTGGGGATTCACCCAGGCGAACGGAAGCAAGTTTGACCGCCCGTGCTTCGCCGAGACCCACGCTCGGGAGGTTACCCCAGATTTCGTAATAAAGGGAGAGGGGTCTCATTTCGGGGGGGGTCTCTTCCAGGCTATCTTGGAGGGCCTCGGGGGCCTGGGGACGATGTTTTGGAGGGTTCTCCCACGGGGGAGGTCTGACATGGCTTGTCTTGGAGGGTCCAGACCCCCTCCCTTTTATTACGAAATCTGGAGTAAGCAGTTTGGCAGGTGGGGGCAGGACGCGAAGGCCGCGCGGGGTGGAGGATGCTGGCCGCGGCCACGGGCAGGGCTGCAGGGGCTGCGCATTCTGCCTGGGCAGAGGGCCGGTGCTCGTGGCGAGTGGATCGTGTGCAGGCCCCAGCAGTCTGCTCCAACCGTGGCCGCAACTTCAAAACACGACGCGAAGATCGGGACAGAATCGGATCGGGACAACTCGAAATCTCTGAGAATCGGCGGGTTTGGAGGATGTATTGGACGCCGCGGCCGCTCCAGAGCGGTGTATCCCGATCCTAGCCCTGTTTTAGCAACTGCCCCTGCTTCGCGAGCGTTGCACGCACCAGGAACCGGTCACTTCGAGATGGATTCCGCGCGGCCGTGCTGCACCGGAAGCGGTCCAGCGTGGTCCTCTCGCCACGGCCCTCGACCACACCTCGCCGCCTGGATAGCGCAGCGCGAACCCGGGGAGGCATGTGCTGAGCAGGGACCGACCGTCCCAGCATTCCCATAGTCCTACCACGAAATGTGCTTAGAACCCAAAAATGTTCTAAGAACAAAAACAATGGTCTTAGAACATGAGCCCGATGTGATAGAGAACAAGACAGACCCCGCCAGAAATGTTCTGAGAACATTCCGTGGAAACCACAAAAGGTTCTTGGAACATCGTTTTTCTCCGGGCTATAGGCGAGCCAGGACGCTTCGCCACTGCTTCAATGTGCGCTTCGGCCCCCCTCTCGCGGCGCTCGAGCTGCCGTGGCTCGTGCTCGGCTCCTTCCGCCTCGGCTCGGAGGTCCCGAGCCAGCGCGGGCTCCCGGTGCAGCTCGGCGGGCGCGTGCTGCAGGCAGGCCGCCGGCAGCACCTGCGGCGCGGGCCAGCGCACGAAGCGCACACAGATGCCGAGCTCTGCTCGGAGCTGCGCACACTGCACACCTCGGGCCTCGCGGAAGACGCACCGCGTGGGCCGGTCGTCCCGCTCCGTGGCTCGGGCGACTCCTGGACTGCCCGCGAGCTGCGGCCGGCGCCGCTGCTCCCGCGGGTCCGGCGGCCCCAGCCCTGCTGGGGCGAGCCTGGGGCGCCTCGTCGGTTCTCCGAAGCGTGCGCGGTGCCACTGGCGACGAGGCAACATCCAGGGTCGCCGAGGAGCTCGCCGAGATGTTTCCCGAGGCGCTGGATCGAGCTGGCGAGCAATCCGCGGGAACCAGCGACGTCGAGGGCCACGGCGGCGGTGACGTCGTATCCGACTCGGACCTCGACTCGGACAGCAGGATGAAGATCTTGACTTCGATGCTGGCCACGAGCGGGCTAGCACTAGTCACCAGTCCGCGGGAGCAGCGTCTATCCAAGAAATCGGCAGGGAACTCCGAACGTTTCTGCTTGTGCCGTGTTTTCTTCTTCGAGGGCCAGCACGGCTCTTACCCCCACGCGCGGCAGCATTCCCTTCGCCGACTGGGGCCCTCTTCCCTCGTCCCCCCCTATACCTCTCGTTCTCGTGACGAACGAAACGCGAACACAAGGGGCCCTGGGACACACAAATAAATAGGCACAAGTCCCAGGATTCCCAATATTTTCCCAGATGTTCTGGGTTCTCGTTTCCCCCCACACTTCCCATATTGTCCTATATTTTCCTGGGAGTCAGCGATTGTGTCTGTGTGGTGCTTCCCCTCCTGAAGTGTGGACGCCCGAAATGGGTACGGGAGAGATGGGTACGGAAAGGGAGAACGCACAGATACTTTCAATAGTGCTGGATTCGGGGGCTCCCCTGGACTCCTCTACCCAGGGCGTCGCCTCGCTGAGAAAGCGCCTTGAGCCATGCGTCATCACGGATCTCGGGCTTGTTTCGCCCGAGGATGTTGGCAGAAGAAGGAAAACGCCATGAACATGATTTGTTGGCTCTCCGCGCTGATTTCCTGGATCTGCGCTGGACCCGCCTCCCTGGCGCGCGGAGCGCGCCAGGGGCGGCGACGGAGGCGCCGGCAGGGGGACCCAGCGCGGATCCAAGAAACCCGTGCGGAGCGCCAAAGAGTATGCTTATGGCTTATGGTGTGTTTTCTTCCTTGGTCAGAGCGAGGGGGCCGAACGGTCATTCATTGTCCCTGGGTGCGTGGCTTAAGTGAGGATCCGTGGTGAGAATTCTTTTTGTTGCGTTGTTGTTGGTGGTGTTGTTGGTGTTGTTGTTTCTGTTGTTGTTGCTGTTGTTGTTGCTAATGTTGTTGTCGTCGTCGTCCCCACGCGCGACCCACCCGCAATCCACCCCGCGACCCACTCTGCGACCCACCCGCGACCCACCCCGCGACCCACCCCGCGACCCACCCCGCGACCCAATGCGCGACCCACCCGCGACCCATCCGCGACCCACCTGCGATCCACCCGCGACCCAATGCGACCCACCCGCGACCCACCTGCGATCCACCCGCGACCCACCCGCGACCCATCCCGCGACCCACCCGCGACCCACCCGCGACCCACCAGCGACCCACCAGCGATCCACCCGCGACCCACTCAGTATACAAAGTGCGAAATTCGTATATGAAGTGCGACATTCGGCGCCTGCGGCGGGCTGCCTTGCATCGGTTTAGGAGATCGCCCACGACCCCAACGCTTGCATTCTACTACGTGCGAAAAAATTGCGCCTGCGGCGGGCTCGCTGCATAGCCTGACAAAACAAATTCTGCGCTTGCGGCGGGCTTCTTCTGAGCCTCGCAGACTGCCGACACCCCCGCCCCCCCTCACTCTTATCCGCAACTGCGGGGTGCAACGTAATTGCTCCACCTACCTGGTCACCTACCCCTGCCAAAATGAGTACGATGCCCAGCATCAGAGGTTGTCCCCAACTGACAGCGGCCGCTGATGGGCAGGCGGCTCTTTGTCCGAGATGGACAAGGCGGCCGCGGCGACGCCGACAACGACCCCTGCTCAGACGGAAAGGAACTGCTGTCGGACTTTGTACCAGTTGCTTCAGTACCCCATGGGGTCCGAGCAGATGGCGTCAGAGGATCGCAGCGCATCGCCAATGCATCGCCAATGCATCGGCGATTCATCGGCGACGTCGGCGGTGCATCAGCGCATGGGCGGTGCAATTAGGCGCCGCATCGCGCCGCATCGCCGATGCACCGGTGCTAAGGCGCGATCCTCCGACCCCATCTACTCCAACCCCATCTGGGAGGCCTGAGGAGGAGGAGGAGGAGGAGGAGGAGGAGGGAAACATGGAGAGGAGGAGGAGGAGGAGGAGGAGGAGGAGGGAGGAGGAGGGAGAGGAGGAGGAGGAGGGAAACATGGAGAGGAGGGGGAGGAGGAGGGAAACATGGCGGAGGAGGAGGAGGAGGAGGAGGCGGAGGAGGAGGAGGAGGCGGGGGGAGGAGATGGAGAACGCCTGGAGACGGGTCCGACTCCCTCGGGCGGCCCCCGCGGCCGGCCACCGCCGCCCCCCGGGCGGCGCCCGCGGCGCCGGGCGGGAGGGGGGGGGCGCCTGGGCGGACGCCGCGGCGGGGCGGCCAGGGGGCCTGCGCCAGCCGGGAGCGGCGGCGCCGTCGAGTCCGTCGCCGACAACGTCGTCGTCGACGTCGAGATCGTCGTCGAGATCGTCGTCGAGTTCGTCGTCGTCGTCGATTCCGTCGCCCACCGTGTCGTCGGCGTCGTCGTCGTCATCGAGATCGCCGTCGATTTCTTCGTCGTCGTCGATTCCGTCGCCGACCGTGTCGTCGTCGTCGTCGACGTCGAGATCGTCGTCGAGATCGTCGTCGAGTTCGTCGTCGTCGTCGATTCCGTCGCCCACCGTGTCGTCGGCGTCGTCGTCGTCATCGAGATCGCCGTCGATTTCTTCGTCGTCGTCGATTCCGTCGCCGACCGTGTCGTCGTCGTCGTCGACGTCGAGATCGTCGTCGAGATCGTCGTCGAGTTCGTCGTCGTCGTCGATTCCGTCGCCCACCGTGTCGTCGGCGTCGACGTCGGGATCGTCGTCGAGATCGTCGTCGCCGTCGATTCCGTCGCCGACCGTGTCGTCGTCGAGATCGTTGTCGAGCTGGTCGTCGCCGCCGACTCCGTCGCCCACCGTGTCGTCCTCGTCGTCGTCGAAATCGTTGTCGAGCTTGTCGTCGCCGTCGATTCCGTCGCCGACCGTGTCGTCGCCGTCGACGAGATCGTTGTCGAGTTCGTCGTCGCCGTCGATTCCGTCGCCGACCGTGTCGTCGTCGTCGTCGTCGAGTTCGTCGCCGAGTTCGTCGTTGCAGTCGATTTTGTCGCCGACTGTATCTTCGTCGTCGTCTTCGACGTCGCCGGCGCCAGCGTCGTCGATGTTTCGTGGTCGGCGGCGGCGGCGTCTGGAAGAACCTCGCCGCCGTCGGCTTCAGGCCGCGAGGCGCCCAACAATTCCGTCGATTGCATCGCAGGGCTGGCCACACGCCATCACCGCGCGTGGCGGAGTCGTGTCAAAACCCCTTCATCAGTACGCGGGTGCGTGCGCCCCGGTGCCGAGAGGTCCTCGCCGCAGTCCCCCCCCTGCGCCACGACCTGCCACGCCACCGGGCAAAAAAGGCCACCACAAGACGAGCTCACGCGACAGCAACCTGCCCCGGAAGGGAAGTCTGCGCCGCCGCCCCTCCAGAGCCACGGTGGCGTCGACCGAGCAGTCGCTGCGCACAACGAACTCGCTCACGAGCACCACGCTAGCCTTGAGACGACATACCAGCAACGCCACCCTGACCAACGCAGGCCCAGGAGCGGGTCGACGAGATGAGGCGAGAAAAACGTCAGCTCCACTGTGCTGTGCTACTCCCTCCCGCACAACAGGACCTCACAGCGTGACGCCAGTGTTAACCAAGGCAACAGCAAGGCCCCTCTCATCAACTTCGATGCGCAAACCGGGGACGTCCCCGTTACCACCCCGCCCGTCACAGAGGGCGGCGGGACGTCCTATACCAACAGCGTCTCTCTTCACACACGAAAGGGAAGTAACCGCCTACTACAACATATTCAGACACGGCGAAAACCTCGAGCGATTGCCGTCCTGGGGCCCACCAGCACGGACTGCCCAGGACCAGGGCTCCGAATGCCAATCCTCCGCGGCGCGGCTTACCAAACCGACCCCTGGGCATACAATACAGTGCGGGCGCGGCCGCAAGAAACCCTCGCGAGAAACCCAACCCTGAAAACCCCGCGCGGGGTGCACCCGAGTGGACGCCTGGAGCACCCTGAACGCAGCAGCCTCTTCGACGGCTGCAGGAAGCCACCGCGCAGCGCGCGGAGCGAAGACACCCAGGCTTTCTTGATGCGCGCCCCCACTGTATCATGGGGCCCATCTGCCAGCTGAGATGGGACGAATCTGGATGCCCCCAGGAGGTCGTCCGAGCAGCCCTCGGCCCAGAAGGACCGCGCCGCCTGGATCCGTGCAGCCAGCGCCGCACCCGCGCACGAAGAACCCTCCGCTTCGCCCAACCTGGTGGGCTTGCTTTTTCCACCGCCACCACCATGAGTAGGAGGGAGATGAGGGGGTCCTTCTCTTAGGCAGGCTGCTGGGCCTCCTCCTCACCCTCTTCTTGCTCCTGCTCATCCTCCGCCCCCTCCGCCCCTCCAACTTCTGGTGGTGGTGGTGGAAAGCAGGCCCATCACACTCTCTGGAACATCACCCGCCAGCGGCAAGCGTTACCCAGGCGGGTCAGGCACGGCCCAGCAAACGGCCCAAAAACACCAAATGTCAGCCAAATGGGGGCGTCGCGCGTATACAGCTCGACGGCGACCTCGCCGACGCTTTCACGGCTGTGCTCACGTCCCACTTCCGCACCGCTCAAGTCGAAGTAGCCTTGAAGCCCCTAGGCCGCCACGGCACGGCAGAAGGCAAGCGTGAGCTCACTACTACTTCTGGGATCAAACCAGCTGACGCGCACATGGTCCTCGCCGCCACAGGACAAGGAGTTGACATCAGATGCCATGGCCACAAAGGGCCCACCACTACATCACTGTGTGGTACCCAGATGGTCACCAGACCATGCCGCAGGAAGCACACGACGCCTAAACCAAGCACAAGGCATCCGGGGCCGTGCGCTCGGACAGAAGAGTGGGCATTCGCGTCGAACCCGACACCGAGGGAGCGAAACAAGTCGCCCTGGAACTACGGGGAACTGACGCCGCACTCGCCAATACAAGGTGCCGCATCGCGGACATCGACTCACAGGGCGCCACCAAGACGCAAGTCGCTAAGGTTCTGGCGCCCAGAATGTGGCGATGCGAAGTCCAACGCGCTGGATGGGACAAAACTACCAGGGGCGGCTTTGACATTGTCAAGGCGACAAGCCACTCAGCGAACGACGCGCTCCACGCGCGCGGCCCCGCCACCCAGTGGACCATCTGCAAAGTCGAAGGCTGCACCGCTGCCAGAGCTTAGCGCCCTGAGACACCGACGGCTGCGATCGTCCCACTCGTCTCACCGGAGATCATCGCCACAGAAAAACCTGTGGTGGGAGCGCCCACACAAGGAGCAAGGTCAACCACCCCCCCCGCCACTGCAAGACAGGACGTCACCTGACCGTGCCTCCAGGCGCTGCCAAAACCCACGCCGAGCCAAGAAGGCCGCTGCCGCCGCCGAGCACCCCACCACAAGGGAAACGCAGCGCAGCAGCAGCATGTTGGGCGCTCGCAAACCTGGCAACAGCAGCACCAGACAGGAAATCACAACGAACATCGACGACAGCCACCTTCGGATTAGGACGCTGACGGCTGCGGCATGGTCGGTGGCGCCAGTTGCATAGAAGCACCGGCGTTCCATCTTTGTCCGCCAACGAAGAGCGAACGGCAATGGGCTACGACGAGATCATGGATGACAACTGGATACCGCAACCTGGGGCTCAATGGATCACCGACCAGACGGACGCGAGGTTCAGAGAACTGGAAGCTGACAAACAACAACTTGCCGAAACCGCCAGGAGGCTCGGAACAACCGTCACCAGCGCGGCCGCCAGCCAGGCGACCCTCGCTCAGCAATGCCACCAGCTTGAGCAGGGGGTCTACGCGGACCGATCGTAGACCTGAGGGCCTTCATGAACCAAATGGCGCCTCTCGTCTCGCCCGCCCAACCCCAAACCACCCAGGCTCTCCAGGAAACGCCTGAACCAGTGTCGCCCCCCAGTGGGCCCGACAGCGAGGCCAGCCCTGCCGGCTCCTCCGGGAACCAAAGCATAGGAGGCAGTACGAGCGCTCTCTCTCTCTCTCTCTCTCTCTCTCTCTCTCTCTCTCTCTCTATACATATATATATATATATATATATCCTCGGCTCCCTCACAGGGCGCGACGCCCCGAAACGCCGCGCGGGCGCTGCCGCCGCGCCGAGGAAGCACGAGTCTGCGCCGTGCGGGGTGCCCTGGCCAGACACAAGCGGCCAGGCCCCAGGAGGCCGCACCAGGGCAAAAATTACAACCCTCTCCAAAATTACCCTCACGAGTGTATTATGTGGCTGAATTGTTTGCAGGGATATTCTGGACAGAGTAGGGATGACTGCGAGGTTCTTGCATGCGCACCCCTTCCAATGTCGGTCGTCATCGGGTTTCCGAGTCGTTCCTGGTCTGACCACCGTTGCCGTGGTCCCGACGTTGGGGGGGCATCGCATAGATATTGAAGAACGCGCCGACAGCGCAGGGGCGTGTTCGCCATTATTGGGGATACTTTTGACGAGGGCCGCAGCGTCTTCGACGAAACCCGAAACCGACACCCGCCGCCAATGGAGTTGCCCGACTCGTTCATCGGCGAAGAGTGTCCGGATTTCGCCGCCGAAGAAGGCCCTTGCCTTTTGTTCACGATGCCGACGCATCGGTTCCACGGGGCAACTCCTGGGCACAGTCCTGGCCGCTTTACAGCCCGCGCGGCGACGGAGGGGGTGAGGAACCCGGAGGCGAAAAGGGATACCGAGGAGACAGCGAGGGCAAGGAGCACGAAAACGACGAGGACGAAGGATGCCGCGCGCGCGATGGGGATAGTAGTCGACCTCCGCGAACCGCGCCAACGAGGCAGAAACGCGCACGCCCCATGTCGGAGCGGCGGCGCGGGCGCTGGGAGTCTTCAGGACGAGGCGAGCTTTCGCGTCCGCGAGCCGCCCGACGGCCCCAGGTTCCAGTGGCCAAGAGCAGGGCAGACGCGGTGAGTCTTCCCTCCTCCCTCCCCGTCGTCCTCCTCTCGGTTCCCATCCTCCTCTACCTCTGGCTGCTCCTCCTTCCCCTTGTCCAGTTCCCACCTCGTTCCCTCCATCCTTGGCCCCCTTCGCCCCGCCCCCTCTGCTGCTGCTGCTGCTGCTGCTGCTGCTGCTGCTGCTGCTGCTGCTGCTGCGACTGCTGCTGCTGCTGCTGCTGCTCCTGCTGGTGCTGCTGCTGCTGCTGCTGTTCGTCGTCCTCCTCCTCCTCCTCCTCCTCCTCCTCCTCCTCCTCCTCCTCCTCCTCCTCCTCCTCCTCCTCCTTGACTCGACAGTGCGGCCAATCCTACTACCCTCGTCAAAATTAACCTCAACAGTTGCCGGCACGTCATTCCGATTCTGGCGCGCCCCTCAATGTCGACGCGCCGCCCCTTCGATATCGGGGCGAGGGCAAAGATACTCTGACCGAAGTTGACTCGAAAGTTTGACGCCGACCGACATTGGAAGGGCGGCGCATGCAAGTACCCCGCACTCATCGATCCTCGGCCCCAGATCTTCTTGACGAGGGTTGTAGCCACCGATGCGGGGCGGGGCAAACCCGCCGCCCCGCGACCCCCTGGAGCTAGGGGCCGCGCATACCCGGCGGGGCCCGAAAAGGAAAACTCTAGAAAAGAGAAAGAAAAAAGAGAAGAGGCGCCGGGCACACCACGCGGAGCTCCATGAGCTCCACCGACCCGGCGATGGCGTGCGGCCCCCCTGCCTCCCTGGTTCTTCCTGCACCAAGGGACACAAGTTACCCCGCGCCACCGTGCGGGGCACACGGCCCGTGTTACCGTGCATGGGTAACCTGGCCCACCCCCACTGGCCCCCTTGCCCAAGGGAGGCCAGGCGATACACGTCTTGAGCCGTACACTCCCCAGGGGAGTCGACCACTCTGGCAACACCCGGCCCCCCGACGTCATGGGGCGGGCCCCAACAGTAGCCAGAGCCAGCCCCCGCACAGGCTGGTACCACGCGGGCCGACGCAGACTGGAGAACCAGTCCGCGCCAGCCCAGGGGGGTGACCCACGCGGCCCCAGAACGCTGGGTCCCCGGAGGACCTGGGAAAACAGACCGACTCCACGCATTGACCACCTGGCAGAGTCGGGGGCCGCCCCAGGCCCGCCAGGGCACCAACGACCCTGGGCCGCGGCGCCGCAAACGACGTCTTGGCGGATTTCAATTCCCCTAGAAGCCCGAATGCGCCGCCGACGCATCGAGGTCTCCTCCTCCTCCTCCTCCTCCTCCTCCTCCTCCTCCTCCTCCTCCACTACCAACACCACCTCTTCCCTCCTCCTCCTCCTCCTCCTCCTCCTCCTCGTTTCTCCTCCTCCTCCTCCTCCTCCTTCTCCTCCTCCTCCTCCTGTTCCTCCTCCTCCTCCTCCTCCTCGTACTCCTCCTCCCCCCTCTCCTTCGACTCCTCCTTCTTCATCCTCCTCTCTTCTTCTTCTTCCTCCTCCCTTTCCTCCTGCCCCCCCCTCTTCCTCCTCCTCCTCCTCTTCCTCCTCCGCCTCCTCATACTCCTCCTCCCCCTCCTACTTCGACTCCTCCTTCTCCATCACCTCCTCCTCTTCTTCTTCTTCCTCCTGCTCCCCCTCCTCCGTTGTTCTCCTCCTCCTCATCATCATCCTCCTCCCCTCCTCCTCCCTCCTCCTCCTCCTCCTCCTCGTACTCGTCCTCCTCCTCCTCCTCCTCCTCCTCCTCCTCCTCCTCCTCCTCCTCCTCCTCCTCTTCCTGCTCCTCTTCGCATTGACGCTCTCATCCAAGCAACCTTCCACTCCCAGGCGGTTCTGGCCTCATGTGCGTTCGCTGGGCTGTGCTCGACGCCGCCGAACCACTTCGGCTGGGCGGCGCGGGAGGGAGACGGAAGAGACAGCGACAGAGACCACGAAGGGAAATAACAGTGGGAAGGAGAAAGAGAAATATTCGTTTGCCAGCGTGGACCACAAAGAGTGAGTTACTACAACAGGTGGCGGGGAGCGATCAAGGGGCCCAAGAAGGCTCAAGATGGACCCAAGAGGGCCCCAGACAGCCCAAGATGACCTCCAAGACGGCTTAAAGCAGCGCAAAGTCGCTCAAACTGCATTTCGACATACCCCAAGATGTCCCGCGACCGCTCCAAGACATGTCAAAATGGCCATGGGGGGGTTCCCAATGGCGACCCCAAGAGGCCCAAATTCGTCAAAAAACCGAGTTAATGACGCTGGCCTTCTCGCTGGTTCGCTTCCGATTACCCTCCGAGACCTCAAAATGGTTCCAAAAGGGCCCAAGAGAAAGACCCGAGGCAGGCCCACGAGGGCTCAAAGACGGCCGCAAGAGCGCCCAAGAACGCCTCCAGACCGCCCAAAGAGGACCCCACTACCCAAGAGATGATTTTAGGGGCTCTCAAGGGGCGACGCAAATTGAGGAGACCCCCCTCCTTTGATCGACGTCCTCCAAGGTGGTCCCAAGAATGCCTCGACGGCCCCGAAGACGGCCCCAAGAAGCCCCCAAGAAGCCCCGAAGAAGCCCCTGAGAAGCCCCTCTAAGAGGCCCCTAGGAGGCCCCCCAGACGCCCCTAGTGGTCACCAAGAGCTCTGGGAGACATCCCAAGCGAATCTCCGAGAGGCACCCAGGAGGCCTCTGCTTCACCGAGGCTCCCCGAGATGCCCCAGCGATGGCACGCTCCCCCCGCGGAGGGCAGCTCCCCCAGGCATCTGTCCTGGAGGGGCGGGCGGGCATGCGCGACGATGAAGGGGCCCTAGGACACACAAATAAACCGACACAAATGAAAGGGTTCCCCAAAGTTTCATATATATATATATATATATATATACATATATTTATTTATTTATTTATTTATTCTGGGTTTTCGTATTCCGCCCCGCTACCCATCGTTTCCCAAAAAGTTTCTGGGGAGTCGACTCTGAATTGTGTGTGTGTGTTTCTTCCCCTCCTGAGAGGGGCGAGGAGCGAGGAGGCCCCGCCAGTCGGGCGGGGGGGGGGTAGGGGGAGGGGGGGGGGGGACGCGCGCGCGCGCGAGCGCGCGCAGGAGGCGCTGCGGGGGCCGCCCCGCAGACCGAGCCCAGTGGGGGCTGGGCGGGGCGGGGCGGGAGGCCGGGCGCGGGGCCCCGAGCCGCACGCGGCGGGCGCCGTGGCACCGCCCCGCGGGCCTGGGCGCCGGCGGGCGGCCCGCTCCGCGACCCACCCGCGCGCGGCTCTGCAGAAGGCGCCGCGCCCGCGACGGCCTGGTCGGCTCGGAGCTGCGGAGCTCGGGCACAGATGCCACGTGACCACATACGTATACACCTGCAGGCGGCCTCGATTGGGCAGGACACGCGAGAGGAGGCGAGACCCTTCCGAGGGCCACATTGCCACGGGAATGCAGGAAGCACGGGTCGCGAGGCACAGGACACAAGGGTACCCTTGATTTGGCAGGGTCGACCTAGTAATCTGGGCCGTCAGTATGTGTACATGGGGTGGGAGAGAGAAAAAGAGAGAGAGAGAGAGAAAGAGACATAGCGGAGAGCCAGAGAGAAGGAGAGAGCCAGCATGTGCGCGGCCCAGCGGGGGGGGCAGGGACGTAATGAAATAAGAAGAGGCGCTTTGAAATCTGGGAAATACCATGGCCCCCGCCATGATATCCACGCCCCCCTAGTCATCACCCCCCTCTCTGCCGCCCCCGAAATGACAGCAGGCACGCGCACGAGCAGAGGCGCCCGCATCGACGCGGGGCACGCACGGGAAGCACCGGTGCGCGCCGCACCGCGCGCTGCGCCACGAGCCTGGGAGGCGCGCAGCACCCGCCGAGAGGCGCGCGGAGGCCGAGCGACAGCCTGCTCGGCGCAGAACTGCACACCACGGGCGGGGGCAGGAGGTCCTCCTCTCCTCCTGCTCCCAGGCAAGTAGAAGAAAGAGAACTATGCACATACACCGACTCTGGCCAGGCCCATCCTGAGCCCAGGATCGGTGCATACGCCCTCTTAATTTGGCCAGGAAGGTATGTGCACCGATCCTGGGTCAAGGATGGACGTTGTCAGGATCGGTGCATGGCAGGGCAGGGCAGGAGGTCCTCCTTTCCTCCTGCTCTCCCAGGCTTAGGTCGGGCCTGTCCCCCTACAGGGGGATTTTCGACGAAAGGTAAAAAAGACCCCAAAGATTGTCAAAACATAGTCCAAGAATAGTCTGGGGTCTATTCTTGGAGTATTTTTTGACCTTCTTGGGGTTAGTTTGGGGTATGTTTTATTCTTCGTCGAAAATCCCCCCGTAGGGGGACACGCCCGACACAATCCCAGGCAAGGGAGAGCGGGACGCGGCAGCACGAGGAGAGCCTCGCGGGAGGAGAGGGCTCCGACGGTGCGGCGGAGTGCGACGGAGGAGGGGGGGGAGAGAGTGGAGGGAGGAGGGGCACGAGGCGAGGCAGGAGGAGGAGCAGAGGGGAGGGGAACAACGGGGAGGACAGGGGGGGGTCCGGGAGGGGATGGGGGGGAACCGCAACGGGGGTGTGTGGTGGTGGTGGGGTGGGGGGGGGGGGGGGGGCATCCTCACGACATCCTCACGAGTCGCTCTTAAACTGGCTACGGCGTGCAGGGCAAGCGACGCTGGCGGTGTGCTGCCCGCGCCGAAGCGAGAGCGCCGTTTGGACGGACTTTCGGCCATTGCACGGAAATTCGGGCCGCATAGTACGAGGATGGGGCGGAAAAGAGGGGTGTGGAAGAGGGTCAAGAGAAGCAGAAGAATGAACACGGGTGGATGAGGAAGCGACCGGGGGCGGGATGGCGCAGAAGAGACACACACAAAATGAGCAACACATCGGCAAACGGGCTGCCTCAGCCTGCCGCGCCGCGGCCCGTGCGCCGTCCACTACCAGCGAGAAGATCCGCTTCGCGGTTGGCAAGTACTCCTCCCGATGTAGCAGCTAACATGAATCCCGTGTGGCAAGCATGAATCCCCGATGTAGCGGACATTCCTCGCGGTTCGCTCCCCGATACAGCAAGCACGAATCCCGTGAGCTCGTCCAGTGCGGCAGGCGATGCGTGAAGCCGACGAGGAGTGCGGAGGGCGACGGCCTCGAGGAGTGAGGGAGGGAACGAGCAGGGGCGCAGCCAGAAGAGCCTCCCCCTCCCCCCTTTCTCAACTCCTCCCCGCCCTCAAACAACGTAGGAGCAGCGATGTCGACACGACCCCACCAGCGCGAGAAGCCAAGGGAGGTCCTCCCGGTGGTGTGGTCCCCCTGCTCTGCTCGAGACATCTCCGTCTCCGTCTCGGGGATAGCATCGTGGACCTCCTCGATGGAGGTGCCCCCCCCTGTGGTGGTGGTGGTGGTGGTGGTGGTGGTGATGTCGCCTCCCTTCGGCCGAACCGAACAACATCTGACAGCCCTGGGAATAGTTAAGGTCTTCGAAACCACTCTCGCGTGAGACCGATACGAGTCAGCCAACAAATCCCACCAGCCCTCTGGACACACGTGGTGTAGCGGTTAGTGATTCAACCCATTCGGGAGGGGAACACCCCTGCTCCTTCTGCATAGCACCCCTTTCCCCACTCGACTGGCCCCCAACCAAGGTCAATGTCACCCGCCCACACCATCCCTGTCAACAAAACAATACGAAGTGCACTTTGCGGAGAAATCAGATCATGCTTGGGCGCCCCGCGATCAGTTTGCATTGCTGTTTGTCACGGACAGCGAGGTGCAAACACATTGTCCCGCGTCTGCAGGTCCACCATCCTTGTCAGCACAACAACAGCAGCAACAGTTTGAAGTGTTTGCGCGTGCGCGCACCATACAGTCAACCCGTATAATCAGGAAACACGACAAGGATGCAAGCGCGTTGGACGGCCATGCCGACACTTTGTGAGCGGGGTGCGGCCAGCGAGAACGGCCAAGGATAGGCCGACGGGAAAGGATGCAAGGGTAACCTTGGAAAGTCGCTCATCCTTACCATGCGGGTTGACTGTACACCATGATGACCACGTCGCCGCCTCGCTCTGGCGTTTGACAATGATGGTGGGAGGTGCAGATGTTTACCCATGCATGTTGCCACTTGTACTGGCGCACTGGGCACACTCTGCGCGCGACGCGCACGTGAAGCACCTGGTGCGGTTGGAGCACGCGCGACACGTGCTCACATCTGACCCGAGCTCCTGCCGATCGGACCAGCTCTCTCTCTCTCTCTCTCTGTCGCCCTGTCATTAATGGAGGCCATCGAGGGTTTTGGTCGTCTCCTCCTCCTCCTCCTCCTCCTCCTCCTCCTCCTCCTCCGCCCACGCTTCGAGGGATGTGCGTTGCTTGTCTTGGACTTGCCATGGAGTTTGTCGTCGGGTGTCCAACAGCACAGTCAGAATCGAGTGTGCATGGGGGCAGCAGCCACGGACTGAGAAGGGGAATAGCATTGTCGTGGGCCCCCCTTACTCCTTCGAAAGCCTCCAGAAGGGGAAGCCCGCCGAGATTGTAGCACATGAAAGGCAGCAGCAACAGCAACGGGAGCAAGGGGTACTCAGAGGCGGGGCCTCGCTCCAGGTGCCCCGCCATCCTCGGCAGGGGCGGATCCCAGCGGAGCTGCAGCGGCCTCCTCGGCAGTTCCCAAGCCGTTCCCCGAGGAGTAGAAGAAGGAGTTGCGCGCCAGGTTGTTGGCTGAGGCGGGTTTGCAGGCCGAGCTGGCTAAGGGCGCGGGCAAGGGGCCGCTTCCTGAATGCCCTCCTGCTCGTGCTGCTCCGGAGTCTTCCTGATCCCCAGGCGCGCCTTGGCCGCTGGGGCGAGGCAGCGGCCGACTGTGCACCGCAGAAGTCCAAGGGCGACGCACCCCTGGACAGCCTCTTCG